TTAATCAGGTTGAGATAAAGACCTTCTATTCCAATTTTCTGTAGCGTTTTTTATCATGAATGGGTGCTGGATTTTGTCAAATGATGGCATTTGAATTATGAAGTGGAATTACTTCTTGCCAGAGAAAGCTTGGCCATCTCTGTGGGCTTTATTTTCTAGGAACTTTTCAGCTTAATACCAGTTTAAGATGTAGGCAAATTGTACTTTATAGCCACACATACTTGCTTTCAGCCGTCTTATTTTTTTTTATCTAAATGAAGTCTGATTCATTTGCAGAGGATACCATTTGATGATATTAAAAACATTGAGCATCCATGATGATTTTTGGAGGAGTTCACTTTAACGTGATGCCCTCTCCTGTTTATTTTCACAAACTTACAAAATTAGAAAGTGCCAAAAATTAAAGGGAAAATTGTTCCCGGCCCAATTTCTCCCTAAGCCCCGGTCCTGCTCCCCAAAAGAACACTTATTGCCATCAGGTTCAGGTCAATCTTGAACATAGTTATGTAGCCCAGGCCAGCCTGGAACCTGTGGCAGTCTTCCTGCCTCAGCCTCCCCAGTGCTGGGCTGCAGGAGTGCTCTGCCACACCAGGCTTTCCCGTTGTTAAGTAAGGAAAAGTCAAGCTTAGAGAAGTGAACTTTGCCAGGTCACACAGGGGCTCAGACTTGTGCTGTGCTGATTGTGCTCTTGGGTGTCAGCCGCAGGTGGTGTTCATGGGCCACCTCAAGGTGCACGCTGCCTGCCGCAGGCCTGTGTGGGAAGCGAGTCTTGCAGATGCAGAGAGGGACGAACCCACTTTCAGAGATTCCTCAGGTGGTAAAGTTCTGTTTCCCACTTCTGTGACTCCAGAAATGAACCTGGCAGCCACTGTAGAGCTCCACAGAGTGGGGTGGCAGGGTGTTTGCTTTCTCTGTGTAGTAGCCTGGGAAACCTAAGGTTCATCCACTAAAGTAAACTGCAAGGGAAGGGGTGGTGACTGGCACGGGCCTTGTCCCAGAAGCTCAGAGCTGAGGGCTGGCTGGGGGAGCTGTCTGTAGGCCCCTGCGTGGTGGAAGCGGAGCGCGGAAGGCGGCCCCCGGCCCTGCGTGTGCCTGGACCCAGGGCAGGCACAGCCGACTCCCCCCGCTCCAGTGTTTGTGGAGCTGAAGCTGCTCGCATCCACAGCCATGTGTCCGGGATAGAAGCCTGAGCCTCCCGTGTGGCCACTGATCAGTGCTTTTGATCAGGGCTGGAGATGTGTTGTTTTTTTCTTAGTGGGTTTCCTGTTTGTATTTGAAATGCAGCTGATAATGACAGGACTGTTGGCCATTTTCATGACTTTTGCCAGTTTGCTTGGCTTTTTTTGTTTGTTTTTTTGGTACCGGGGATCGAACTCGGGTCCTTGCACTTGCGAGGCAGGCGGCGGGATTGCTTGGCTTTTTGAAACTTGAAGCATTTTCATTTTCTAGACTTAACCTGAGACAGATCGCCAGGCTGTGGATGTGAGCGTGGTGGGTGGAAGTGATAGATACAGCTGTTTTCTTCCTCCTGGTCTGATCGGAGCCCAGTGCGCTGCCTTCTCTTGTCCCCGGTCTCCTTCCTGCTGCAGTGTTGGTGGCCTTGGTGCTGTCAGGGAGCACTCCTGGTCCAGGTCTCTTTCTCTGGTCCTTGCCCACGGCCCATGCTGCACCTTTCAGCCCCGCCAAGCCCTGGAGGAAGCCTTGGTCCAGGACCCCGCTTCTCTCTTCCACACTTAAACTGGAGCCAGCAGAATCCTCCAGCTCCATATGAAGCAAAGCCAAGACTGACTGCTGATGTATTTGGTTTAATTGAATCATTCCTCTGCAGAAACCATTTTTCTAGAGCTTATGGTAGGGTTTTGCCTCCCTAGAACACGTTTACTGGGGACTTTGGTGTGAGTCCTCTTCAGGCCGAGCGGTGGAGACTGACTGAGGGCCTGGCGGAGTGGCAGCCCCACTTCCTGGTGGGAGCCCAACCTTACCAGGTGACGCCCTCATCCTGAGACTGAGAGTGCTCTCCTCCCGCTGATTCTCAAAACAGCAGTGGGACAGGACCGTCTAACTGGAGAAGGGTGTGGAACGTATCGGTGTTTCTGGGGTGGGAAAACTTTCTAAGGTCGCACTTGAATCCTGGCATGGCCACTTGCTTTTGGGTGATCTCGGCCCAGGGCAGCCCTGTGGAACCACCTCCCAGCTGATGTGAGGCTTGGAGGGGCTCATTTGTGTAAGCGAGGCTGACGCAGCGGTTGGCAGGTAGTGAGCATCCAGTGCCTGTCGGCTCCCAAGTCCAGATCCTGACCACATGCGCTGCGCCTCTTCTGGCTAGGCTGTCCTCTTGCCCCGCACTGCTCCTCTGGCTCCCTGGGTGGCTTCCCAGGAAAAGCACTGCCCCTTCTGGGTTATTCCTGACCCATCATCGTAGATCAGGGTTAGTCCTTCTGCGTGCTCAGCCCTGCTGGCAGCCTCCCCTAGCTCAGAGGTGATGCCCTGCCCTCAGGAGGCCTCCCCAGCCCTGCCTCCCTCCTCTGCCTGCCTCTCCTCTTCAGCTCATCCCTGGTCCCTGTGCTCTGGCCACACTGACATGTTTGTTACTACCCAGACACGCTGGGCCCTTTGCAGTCGCCGCAGGCGGGGCTCTCGGTGCTCACTTCCTTCCACTCTGCCCTCACACGCTTGCATGGGTTACTCTTCACTTGCTTCAGTCCTGGCTCAAAATCACCTGTTTGGTGAGCCAGCCTCCTTCTGTCACTTCACTAAAAATTATGCACCTGCCCCAGTCCCTGTCCTCTTCCCTGATTTATTTTTTCCATGCATGTCTCATTTGACATGTTTTTAATTATTTTAGGGTTTTAGTTATTGATTGCTTCATTGTACAAGTCTGCTTTCCAAAATATAATTTTCATGGGGGCAGGAAATTACACGTTTTGTTCTCAGAGCTAAGAATAGTGTTCTGTTCTTGATGTCCTCTGTGGACACTCAGTAAATATTTGTTGAATATGACATGTGACTTTTAAAAACCAGAAAAATGGAATGGATGCTGTTGGGACATATCTTCTTGCAATCAGTATGTTGAAATGGAAGTAAATTTCCTGTGCTGAGTGACCCCACTGTTTTCCCTGCTAGAGATGTGCAGTCCTACTACGTCTTTGTGAGCTCATGGATGATGAAAATGGAGTCAATTTTATCTAAGGAGCAGAGAATGGATAAGTTTGCTGAAGACCTCACCAACAGATGTAATGTTTTCATACAGGTAATCTTCTTGGGTAGAATCTTTTGGGAGTAACTTCTTTGTTAGTTTAATTTGCAGAAGTTAAATTTGGAAAAAACTGGGAAAGGATAGGCTGTGTTTTTGTTTTAGAACAAATTGATCTGGTTATATCTGACTTACTTCGCTTTTCTAATAGACCCATTCAGAGCTCTCGCTCTAGTCCATCTAGCACCTGACTGTTAGCTGTACCCCATCAGTTTAGAGGGGTTATGTTTTCATTATCATTTCATTCAGAATGTTTTTGTGGTTACTCTGGAGATTTCAAGATGAATCATCTACTCATTCAACTCTAATATAACTTAGCAGTTTTACCTCTTTCCAGACAGGGTAAGGGTCGCAAGCCACTTTAATTCAGCTTGTTTCCCTCCACTTTCTGTGCTGCTGTTGTGGACTTTGATCATCTCTGATTTAAACTTCCCGGGGCATTGTTGTTGCTGTTGTTCCTATAGTCGGTGTTTAGATTTCCTCATGAAGTTGTTTGTTTTGTTGTTGCCTTCCGTTCCTTCCTGCATCTTTTTCTTGTGGCTTATCCTTCTGCTTGTGGCATGCCTACTGGTATTTCATTTAACGTGAGCTTCTTTTGAGGAATTACCACAGTTTTGGGTGCAGCTGTGTCTTTATTTCAACAGTTTCGCTGTGTTAAATTTCTAGATTGGCTGGAATTTTTCATCCAGCTTTCAAACATGTCCTTTTGCTGTCTTCTGGCTTCCTTTGTTTTTTTTTAAATCAGCTGTCAGTTTTGTTGCTTTGTAAATATAATAGCTCATCATTACTTATAAGACAGAGACTGGGTTTCACAGCATTGCAGGGCTGCCCCTGGCTGTGGATTTCTGTGTATTTGTGCTGCTTGGGATTTGCAAGCTCTTGAATTTGTGGAGTGCTCTTATCTGCTGCCAAGCCCTGCTTCTCTTCTGTCTTGCTTCCTTCTGTTCTGATTCCCTCTCCTCTGCCTGATCTGCCACTTCGGGCACAGTAGAAACCCGTGCCAGCAGAGCTGGGCTGGGACATTGAGCAGTCTCACTGGCCAGTCGTGGACTGCAATGATGTGGAGAAGAATTTCCATCCTGTGATGCTGCTTTTTTCCAGTTCACCCTTAGTTTTTGGGGGGTTTTTTTGGTGGTGGTGGGGGTGTTAATCTTTCAGGGTCCCAAGCTGGAGCCTAGATGTTCACCAGAATCTTGCCCCCTCCTTGATGGGTCATGGACTCATTTTTATTCCCTTCCTGAGGGGCAGCCTCTAAGGCAGGTGCTTGAAGTGAAAGCAACTTGAGATGCCAGACTCTGGCTTCTGTCTTCTCCCAGGTCTGGGTTGTTTTGGGGTTTTTTTGGCAGTACTGGGGGTTGGATCCAGGGCCTCTGCCTGAGCTGCATCAGTAGTCATTTTCGTTTTTTTTCGAGGCAGGGTCTCCTTAGTTGCCGGGGGTGGGCTTGTGCTTGTGACCCTCCTGCCTCAGCCTCCTAGAGTGTGGGATTATGGGCTCTGCCCCTGTGGGCTTCTTACCTCTTTATTTCCTCGATAGCTCTTTGATGCCTTCCAAGGGATTTTAGACCTGTTTGCCGTTCTTTTCTAGTTTCTCGCAGGAATGGTGGTCCACACGGTCCCCTCCCTCATCAACAGTGACAGACTGCAGGGCTCTCCTCTCCCCGGTTAGACTCTGAAGTCCGTCCCTCAAGTGTAGCTCGTGCACAGACTAACTGTGAATGGGGTGATGTACTTTACGCCCCACCAGAAAAAAAGAGGAAAGAAAGGAACAGGAGCTTCCCTTTCTGGCCTGCTGTGTTTGTGCTAACTGCCTGCTAGGTTGGTCCTGTACTGGCAGTGTGGGACTCCTGGCTGTCTGCATGATGTGTCTACTTGTGTCCCAGGCTTTGGTCCCACAGCTGCCTTCCTCAGGGTGCCTGCCTTCTGTTTGGTCTTGATTCTCTTAGTGTGGCACCTGTGTTCACCACAGAGCTGTGCAGATCAGAGAGGCTCCTCCCCACCCTGCCAGGGACCCTCCTGTGGAGAGTGGTGGCTGCTTCAAGGGGGAGCCCTTTTCCCAGGGCGGGGCAGGAGGGAGAGGCTGCCCGCCGTCGGCTAACCCATGCCCTGCTCTAGACTGTGACAGTGTCTTTGGAGCCTTCACAAACCGACAGAATCTCTGTCGTTGTCCTTGGGTTTCCTTGTCTCCTTTTTAGGCTTCAGGGAAAATATGTGAGGAGTAGTAGTCTTTTTTCCTGTTTCCCTGAATTTAATAGCATTGAATTTTCAAAACCTTGCAAGACTTACAATTCCTTCACGAATAGAGGAGGAGAGAGTTTGTACGACTGCCTGGAAGGAGAGAAGGTCTGATTAGCAGACAAGTAGTGGATAGAATTGGTCTGGGTAAGGACGAAAGGACGCATCAGCTTTTCTCGTAACTCCCTTGCAAACCCACATTGGTCAGAAAGCAGCTCTTTCTCATTTTTCAGTTCCTAGCTCCTTAAGCATCCTTAGCTCTTGCCCTGAGTGGCAGCAGGTGGGGTCATTATTCTTTCCCCTGGCAGGCAAGCGAAGGATGAATAGATATCACCCTTACATCATTTCTCTGAAGGTTTTTTTAAATGATTGTATTCTATAATCTGAAAAGTGCTAAATATCTGCTATGTGATACCAGATATAAATAAACTTCAAGGGCTGCTTTGAAACAACTAGCAGTATATCACATCTCTGCAAGGAAGAATATTATGAAATATTAAGAGCTGGCTTTAAAAACAAGTAATTATTAGCAAGTTGAGAAATAACATTACGCAAATGAAGTCTTGGAGAAGTGAAATCTTTCCTTATGTTTATACTAAATGTTCCCTTTTCTTTCACAGGGCTTCTTATATGCATATAGTATTAGTACCATTATCAAGACCACAATGAATCTCTACATGTCCATGCAGAAGCCAATGACCAAGACCTCGGTGAAGGCGTTATGCAGGCTCATTGAACTTCTCAAGGTAGGGCTTCATTGCTGTATTTGCCGCCACGACTGAGAAACGACCAGGCCTGAACAAGAACAAGTTTGTTGTGTTTGGCTTATTGAGTACATGAGGACGAAAACTCAAGAAATTTTCCACTAAATGTTGTGAATGGCCAGTCGGGGTGCTCTATGACTTACCGTGGGGTTTTACGCTGATAGCCCATAACTTAGGCCAGCCCCCCTGAAATGTGCTCAGAATAAAGTGTTGAGTATCTCTTGTGATTCACTGAATCCTGAACTGAAAGTGGAAAACTGGTTGTGTGTGTATGCTTTTGCACCATTGTAAAGTCAGATAATTGTAAGTTGAGGACTTTGTGTCTAGACTTTATTAAAAGTTAATGCTACAAGAAAGAAAAGGACAATGGGAAAAGTTAGCTTCAGTATTTTTACTAAAATTTTGCTCATGGAAGTTTTAAAAGCTTGTTGCGAGAGTTTAAAAAAACACTCGTGACATTATCCATTATTCTCTGGTGTCCACATGCATATGAGGTTACTTAACGTGGAGCTGTTCTGTACCGTGGAGCACCTGCCTTGTGTTGTCTGGCGATTTGGACAGGAGGCTACTGACTTGTAGAGGAGGTCAAATGAGTCAGAACCATAGGGCACTTACAGCAGTATGGCACAGTGTCTCTGTAAGAAAACCATGTGGACTGGAGAGCCCAGGTAATCTTACGGAAAAGTAAAGTTAAAGATTCGCTGGTAAATTTCTGCTAATCATGGACTTAAGATTTGTTCAGGAGGTAAAGTTCTTTTGGGAGAGTGTAACTTAAGATTTCCAGGCTTTTTTCCTTTTAGCTATATTATCTGCTATTAGTTGACACTTTCTGTTTTGTTTTGGTTTTTGGTACTTAGGATCGAACTCAGGACACCGCTTACAAGGCAGTCGGCGGAACCACTGAGCCAAAACCCCAGCCCTTTTTTTTTTTTTTTGGACCGGGGATCGAACTCAGGACCTTGCACTTGTCAGGCAGGTGGCAGAACCACTGAGCTAAATCCCCAACACTTTTTAAATGGAATAAAAAAGCAGAAGTGTATGTATGTATGTTTGAATAGATACATATTCAGTATAATCATAGTTTTTAAAAACAATCAGCACTTCAGGGCTGATCACTTGAGCAGTGGGATGTTCTAGGAGTTTGTGGAGCCCCATGTATCCCCCGATTGCAGCTCAGGCCATCTGCTCAAAGGACATTTGTGTCCTGAATTTTATGCTCTCTTACTGCTGTGGTGTTTGCAGCTCAGCACGTATGGATGAACCCACACCCCGTTCATTGTTATGTATGGTTTGGGGGTTATATTAACAGAGTAATACTTCGTGTGTTTTTTGACTTTAACTCAGCCTCTCAAATTGGAATGTTTCCGTACTGAGGGGAGCAGCTGTGGCACCTTCCTTCTTGTCGCTGGGAGCTTGCCTGGCCTGGGCTCTGGGGCTGTGTCCAGTCTTCGCCACTGCAAACAGAGCTGCCATTCTCGTTCTGGTGCAGGAGTTTTTCTTAACATTGGGGCTGCTGTGTTAGGTTGTGCGTGTGTTCATCTTTTCAGGATGATGCCACTTTTTTTTGGACAGTAGTATCTGCTCATGTACCTCCCCCAGTATGTCAGACTTCCTACTGTTCCCCAGCTGGCCCACACCACTGCGGGATGAATACCACTTCCTGAAGTGCTTGGGACCAGAAGTGTCCAAGATCCCCATTTGTTTTGGGGATGTGAAATGTATGTAGTGAGATACTCAAGTCAAGACGTGGAATTCATTTGGTTCATACACACCTCACACATGGACCTGGAGAATTTCTTGTGTGCCTGCATTTTTTGACTGTGGCCCTTCTCGTGAAGTCAGGTGTGAGGTCTTCCACTTGTGCTGTCAGGTTGACCTTCGAAGAATTTTGGATTTTGGATTAGTTCAGATTTCTGACTTGTGGGTTAAGCATGTTCAACCTGTATTATCAAGACAGGGTGATTTTTTGGTTTTGTTTTGTAAATCAGTGGGCATTATTAGTTTGGATCAGGATTTTTAATGTTCAACCCCTAATTGTTAATGATGGTGAATATTTTGCCCATTATTTATTAACTTGTTTATATTTTTGAGAAAAATTTGTCCCCATCCTTTACTCAGTTTTCTGTGGGACTGTGTGTCTTAAAAATAATTTGTATTCCCTAGACACCAATTCTTTATATTTGGCAAATATCTTTTTATAAATTGGCTTACCTTTTCTTTTTTTTTGGTACAGGGGATCGAACTTAGGACCTTGCGCTTGCGAGGCAGGCAGCAGAACCACTGAGCTAAATCCCCAGCCCTACCTGTTATTTTCTTAATGGCCATTGACAAACAAGTTCTTAATTTTTTCTTTTTTTTTTTCTGTACCAGGGATCGAACTCGGGTCCTTGCGCTTGCGCAGCAGGCGACAAAACCACCGAGCTAAATCCCTGGGCAACAAGTTCTTAATTTTAGTGTGGTTGAATTTTCCAGTCTTACCCTTTATGCTGTTTATCGCATCTCATTTGCAAATACTTTCTCTTGCCTGAGGTCATAGAGATTCATTTCTATAATTTTGCTTAAAAATTGTAAGTTGACTTTCACAAGATCACTTTTGATTATTTCAGGCAATAGAGCATATGTTCTACAGGAGAAGCATGGTTGTGGCGGATTCAGTTTCCCATATAACACAGCACCTTCAACATCAGGCTCTTAATTCAATTTCTGTAGCCAAGGTACGCACGTAGTTATATTCTCAGCACAGTTATGTTGTCTTTTTTGTTCTGTTGTTTTATGTTTTTTCTACTTTAGCGTATTTTATTCCTTGAAACATAATATTCCTGGTCATTTATCTCCATAAGATTTTATGATTTTTAGAGTTATCAATCAGGGCTTTCTTTCTTCTGAAATTGTAGCATATATTAGTACACCTCTTAAAAATGATACAGTATAGGGCCAGGGATTTAGCTCAGTGGTTCTGCCGCCTGCCTCGCAAGTGCAAGGACCTGAGTTTGATCCCTGGTACCACCAAAAAAAAGATACAGTATGCACTTTTGAAATTGATGTGTCATTTTCAGAAGTGATTTCCTATTAAATTAATTTGGAAGTTTCCAGGTATGCCTGTACACTTGCTGTTCCTGACAGTTCTAGGAAGTAATGATAGAGAAGTAAACTGCAAAACATTGTAAGAAGTGTAACATGGGAGGTATTTTCCTATGGTCTCTGAAATTGAATCATGCAAAACATAATAGAGAAATGTATCGTCTTGGTTTTGTTATCTCAGAAACAAAACTAATAGTTTCCTCTTTTATTTTTAAGAAAAGAGTAATTTCTGACAAAAAGTATAGTGAACAGCGTCTTGATGTGCTCTCTGCTCTAGTTCTGGCCGAGAACACTCTAAACGGACCAAGCACAAAGCAGCGTCGTCTCATCGTCTCTCTGTCGCTCAGCGTGGGCACCCAGATGGTGAGTGTGCCGCTGGTGCCTGCCTGGGAGTCTCCGGGACGGGCTTCCTCCGTTCCTGGCCACTGTGCCTGTCCTGAATTTGATTCCAACCTCAGCTCTTTCCTCCCTTCTCACAGAAAACATTTAAAGATGAAGAACTCTTTCCACTTCAAGTAGTCATGAAGAAACTAGACATCATCAGTGAGCTCAGAGAGCGGTAAGTCTGACTGGTCTGTGTGACAACGCTCAAACAGAGCGGAACCTAGGAACCAAGGTTGGTTCCTCTTAGCACAGCAGAGGAATGAACTGGGATGGCGTGTCAGTTCCCCTGTGTACCCCTTCCAAGAGACCCTGCAGGGCTGGGACCGGGCCTTGCCCCAGAGGAAGCTGCTGCCCCTGGGGCAGGGGGTGGGGGGGAGGGCCGAGGATTCACTGAGGGGAGCCACAGCCTCACAGCCTTGCAGGGCCGATGTGGGTGTCACTCCTGCATGTTGACATTTCCTCCTCACGATATAGCTCCACCTCGTGAGAGACTGAGAGCTGTGAGCCAGCACTTTGTGATTTTATTCTGAGTACATTGCACTTGAATTACACTGTCAGTAGTCAGTCACTGAGTTGAATTAGTTTCAAGCTTATCTTTGCAGCTGTTTGTGACTTGTTTTCTTTTTATTGAGTAAACAGTAGGTTTCTTGAAGGGAAGATGAGTCTTCTGAATTTTGATTTCCCAGCTGAATTGTAGTTAAAGCATATAGTTAAAGTTTCCACTTAATGCTCATGGGGTTTTTTCTTATTATTATTTTAGGAAGCCGACATTTTTATAGTTAGTGACATTTAATTTTTCTATTCTTGGAAGAAATACTGAACCTTCTTCACTATAAGATGTTTGAAGCTGGGTGTGGTAGCAAGCAGTCCAGAGGCTGAGATAGGAGCATCAAAAGTTCAAGGCCAACTTGGGCAGCTTAGCAACGCAGTAGGTGGGATCCTGCCTCAAAAGAAAGCATTACAGTAAAGGGCTGGGATGTAGCTCAGTGCAAATGCCTTGGGGTCACCCTCCGGTACAGCAAAAGAAAATGACCTGACGTTTGATCATCATTTTGCTGCCCTGTGTGGTGTCAAGTAGTCATTTGGTGGCAAAGAGTATACATAGATTACATTGAATTGGGTATTTCTGGCCACCGTTTTTTAAGTTTTCCTTTCCAGCTTGGAGACAGGCAAAATGCTGCATGTGATAAAAGAGTTGTTACTTGCAGTCATATCGAATAGTTCTGAACATACATTTTTAAAATTGCTTAAATTTTTATTTCTTTATACAGTGCTGGGGATTGGACCAGTGCCTCTTGTGCAAGGCAGGCCCTCTGCTACTGAGTCCCCCCAGTCCTGTACATAAAAGTTACCTGCAGTGTTTTCCAGGTCTTTAAAACTAAAGCATGTACTCATAATTCTGACAGTGCCGGGTGTTGCAGTGTTTGTTACCTATACCAGTTTGCGAAATCCTTATTTTGTGTCTTTCTGTACTAATGGTGGGCTGAGTGGTGGGGGAGATGCAGAATGAGCAAGACAGCGCTCTCACCTCCTCGAACAGTCATTCCGAGATGCCGCAGGTGTGGTACTGCTCACTGCTGCTTTGTGTTGCAGCGTCCAGATGCAGTGTGACTGCTGCTTCTTGTACTGGCATCGAGCTGTCTTCCCAATCTACTTGGATGATGTGTACGAAAATGCTGTTGATGCGGCCAGATTACATGTAAGTAAAAGTGATAATGAAGGAAAGTCATCATATTGGTTACTTTTTCATGTGTAAAATAAATCTTAATAAACTATTTTAACATTGACTGCTGCTGCTGTTTTGTACAATGCAGTAAGCAGTATGTGTTTATGCAGTCTGTAGTCAGATTTCATATTAATACTAATGAAGTGAATTGTAATATATTCAGCTGCTCCCCACATATTTCTAATCATTCTCATTCCCTTGAATTTAGTTTGTGTCACAGTAGCCTGCTTTTCTCATAAGCAAACTGTGTGTCACGTTTCTACTCACTGTTCATTTCTATATGAATTTTTCTGGGTCCAAACTATATGCTTAGATTCTTTGATTGGGAAAGTGAGACATTTGTGGAAAAACCATTTTCCTTCAGAGTGAAGCTTTTGTCTCTAGACAGATAATTAGGTGATAGATAATTAGCCTTTGTAATGTTCCTTAGATGAGAGAGACAGGCGGGGTGTAAATTCATGCCTATTGTCATTTCCTCCCCAGTACATGTTCAGCGCGCTGCGAGACTGTGTGCCTGCCATGATGCATTCGAGGCATTTGGAGTCCTACAAGGTCCTTCTGAATTGCTATGACAAGGAGATTATGGAAATTTTAAATGAGGTGAGATTGGAGTTGAGATTGAGAAGCCTAAAACACTGTTTTAGAATGCAGTGTTCAGAAAAATTTTGGATTGAGGCAGACTTTCACTGAGCCAAATATTATATATAAGTCATCATGTAGAACAAAGGGTAGTCTGTAATTCCTTTGTTTTAGAAATCAGACTAAGAATTTGGAAATTTTTAATTTACTTCAGTAAAGTATATTTGAATTTAAATTTCTGTTAATTAGAAGATGGCACAATCAAAATGATTTGAGAATGGAGTGCTGCTTATGGTACAGTAAGGCAGCTAACTGTTAATACTAACTTAACTGTAAACTTAATATTTCATATGGAGAGCTCCTAAGAGGAGAAATGTGTATGATCAGATGGTTTACTTGTGTAACAAAATACACGCATCTCAGACCCTGTGATGATCAGAAAAGGTGGTTAATCGCATGGCCTTTGTCACAGGGAGCTTTGTGAGTTCAGTGATCGTCGCTCCAGGCACGCATTTCCCTGCCCTGTTGTGCGTGTTCTCCAGAGCTTCCTGCTTGGTGTCTGGTTCCACACATTCTATGTTTCACATTTGCGTCCTTGATGATGAAGCCATCACTCATTACCTTTTGATTTTCTTTTCAAGAGAATTAAATTTAAAATATTAAAGTAAAGGCTTGGTATTTATGTAACTGCCCCTGACCAAAAGAATCACTGATTTAAAATGGAGAACAAAGTAACTTTATTTTCTCAGTAGATTTTTTTTTTTTTTTTTTTTTTTGGTACTGGGGTTCGAACTCGGGGCCTTCCACTTTCAAGGCAGGCAGCGGAACCACTGAGCTAAATCCCCAGTCCCTCAGTAAGATTTTTACCACAGAATATTTAGAATCCTAAACCCAGAAACCCTGTGAGGCAGTTTTTTCATCAGTGCACTGTATAGAGCTGTCGGGGGCAAAGTGCGGATGAGGGAAGACAGTGGTTGTAGCTTCATTGTGAAGAGTTCAGCTGTCACTTCCTAACGAATAGCATCTGCTGGACCAGCTGTGCAAAGAGATAGAGAAGGACCTGCGGCTCTCCGTGCACACTCACTTGAAGCTCGACGACCGCAGCCCCTTCAAAGTGGGCATGAAGGACCTGGCCCTGTTTTTCTCTCTGCATCCTATTCGGTTTTTCAACCGTTTCATCGACATTCGAGGTGCGTGTTCTGCCTGTCACGGTCACTGAGACGAAACCTTGAGGCTGTCTTTTTGGGTGTGGTGGTTTGTTATTTCCTTTCACTGCTTTTTCTGTCTTCATTTTTAGTTCTTGGCCCAGTATTTTAAAGGGAAAAATGTGATGCTCAGAGGCAGTGGTGGTTTTTCCTTTTAGTTTCATTTCTCGTTTACTGTTTCAGTGAATTAAACTTTTATTTTATTTTTGTAGCGTATGTTACTCACTACTTGGACAAGACTTTCTACAATCTCACCACAGTAGCTCTTCATGACTGGGCCACTTACAGCGAGATGAGAAACTTGGCTATGCAGCGCTATGGCTTGGTCATGACGGAGGCGCATCTCCCCAGTCAGACCCTGGAGCAGGTGGGTGGGACGCGTTTCTCACTCTCCGACTCAGTAGAAGCCTTGTTTCTTTTTACTGTAGGTTTTTGTTTGTTTAAAGAAAGTGTTTACTACATAAAATCTTGTATTTGAAAGAGTAAAACATTTGGAGTCACTGGTCGGCTGTATGAAGAAATTTAGCCCAGTCTTGCCAGCGTGAGCTCAGACTTCTGTGGAGCATTGAAATAGATGGATACTTACTTTCAAGATGGACTAGGGTCATCAGGGCCTTCAGTAGGGGCCACAGCATTTTAAACCTGGACAAGTTTATAAACTTCAGTATCTGGAGGCAGGTGAGGAGCATTCTGTAATTGCAAATGCATTTGCTCTTCAAATGAAGAGTGCAGAGCTGGCTGTGGTGGCGCACACCTGTAATCCTAGCACTCAGGAGGCTGAGGCAGGAAGATCGCCATGAGTTCCAGGCCAGGCTGAACCACATAGCAAGACCTTGCTTAAAAAAAAAAAAAAAGAGTGCAAAACAGCATTGGCTGTCACTCATTCAGTTAGATTATTTATAATTTATCATTTCGTTTATAATATGGAATATCTCATTATGGAGCTGAGTGTAGCAGTTTATTTTATTAATTTGCATGGATTTCTAATATCCAGACAATATTTATCAAAAAATTATTCCGTTCTGGGCCAGGGATTTAGCTTCAGTGATTTCGCCGCCTGCTGCACAAGTGCAAGGACCCGAGTTTGATCCCTGGTACCAAAAAAAAAAATTATTCAGTTCCAAAATTTAAGGGTCATAAGTTTTTTTAGTCTCCTGCATGTAAGATCATTTCCAGGATCTGTTTGTGTATCCTTCTGTTCACTTATGCACACCTAATATTTATTGAGAATATGCTAGACACTGCCCTGAGTTAGGTATTCAGAGAGAAAGGGAAATCATTCCATTTTGTGTTACTTCCAGTCCAGTGGGAGAGAAAAGTGTATAAACAGACTTTTAGATTGGAAGTGAGAAAACCTGTAATAGAAACTTGGGTATTGCAGTGCTGTAGAGCCTATAGAAAAACTAGAGCATGATACTTATAAATACCATGGGTGTTAGAATAATAACTGAAAAATGAGGGAATCTTAACTACATTAAGAGTGCTGGTGTAATCAAAAGGAGCGTAGTTTGTAAAATCCCAGGGGTCTGCCTCTCCCTGCTGCTCGACCTCAGAGAACTCCCTCACCTTCACTTTCTTTACTTGAGGAATTTAATAATAGCACATCATCATTTGGAAATGCATAGCCTCAGGCTGGGGATTTAGCTCAGTTGTTCCACTGTCTGCCTCACAACCGCAAGGTCCCAAGTTTGATTCCCTGTACCAAAAAAAAGAAAAAAAAGCCTTGCAGAGTACCTGGAAAGTAGTATGTGTGTTATAATTGTCAGCGCTGTTCTGTGACTGCCTTCTAAGTTCTGGCCACGAGTTTACTTCATTTGAAAACTGCAGAGAAGACGCTTGGGCAGAGGAGAAGCATGGTGGGCGGACGACTGTGGGTCTTGGTCTTGATTACTGTCCTAACCCTTCCGGTCCACACGAGTGGCCCAGCTTCCGCAGGACAGAAGAGCGTCCTGCTGTGCCTGTCACGAGGCTCTCCATCCTCTGGCTGTGCCTCTTAGGTGGTTCATGATTCTGAACGAGTGAGGGGTGTAGTCTAACCAGCAAGTCACAGTGGTGATGCGAGCTTAACTAATTGATGTGAGTTAAACTAATGGTATTTCCATGCGTATTGTGTTGTAGGGCCTTGATGTTTTGGAAATTATGAGAAATATTCATATATTTGTGTCTCGATACCTCTATAATCTCAACAATCAGGTGAGTGGATTTTAGAAAATGTTTTTTAATCTGAGTTCGTAGATGGTGGGGGGGTCAGAGGGCAGGGAATTGGTTTTTGTTGTTTTGTTTTGTTTTGTTTTGTTTTGTTTTGTTTTGTTTTTTGGTACTAGGGATTGAACTCAGGACCTTGCGCTTTTGAGGCAGGCGCTGGAACCACTGAGCTAAATCCCCGGCCCAGAAATTGGTTTTTTGAGGGTAAAGATTAGTAAAATATATGGAACAAAAAATAATTGTTCAGAGATACTGTTTATTTCTTTGCTGGCATTTGGTGTATGAGTGGCTTTATAGTCCAGTTACCTTTGATGAAACAAATTCTGAATTCTCTTTGGATAACTAATCAGTATTTGCTATGGGTTGTATTATTATTAAGCATAAATTTGTTTCATTGCAGATTTTCATCGAAAGAACAAGCAATAATAAACATTTGAATACTATTAATATTCGGCATATTGCTAACTCAATTCGAACACATGGCACAGGAATCATGAATACCACAGTAAGCACCTGTTTTGGTGGTTGGGAGGTTAAAACACTCCAGATAAGGCAGTAATTTGGAAGATAACTTTCTTAAAAAGGATATTCTGCTAAACATACATTATTGCCTGTTTATATTATACCTGAATCTCCATTTTTTCAAGTGGTATAATTAAAAATACTGAGCACTTAATTGTCCGGGATGTGATGGGAGCTGTGAAAGGAAAGGCCCTGAGGTAGGTGGCCGCCTTGGGATCGTCGTAAGTGGCATTGGACATTGGAGGAGGCCAGGCTGTGTGTATGGATTGTGTTGATTCTCCAGTGTTCTCTGAAAGTAGCTTTTCAAACTGAATCATTGAGAGCAGTTTATTTAATGTTATTCACACTCTTTTTGGAGAAAGGCTACAAATTATTGATATCTGTATCGGGTACTTTGAATCTTCCTTGGAGTAGGCAGTCACTTGAGGCCACTTGAGCTTGTGGGCGTTTTTCCCTCTGTAGGAAAAAGAGAAAGAAATCTTTGACTTGACCTGTAATTAGTTCACAGTTCTTTCTCTTTAAGAGTACTAAAAACATGAATGCTTAAATTGCTCCATACTGAATAGATTGGCCTGAAGGAATAGGGGAAGCCTGGACAGCTAAGGCGGATCATTATAGTAAACGTTGGGGAGGGCTGTGAAGGTTTTGAGCTGGCGGATGGTGTGAGCTGTGTGTTGCTTACCGGTCACCTTAAACGTAACATGTAAAGGTAAAATGAGTTATCTATGTATCACGGCTGAACCTTCAAAGATGAACTGAACTTTTGAGGACAAACTTCCTTAGCTTCTGTCACTTGCCACGCATTCATGTAACAAAATCTTAGGAGTGTATTTTATGTGTCTCAGGCCCTGTGCTGGGCACTAGCAACGTCTTGCTCTCGTGGTAATAGATGTTGACAGGACTCAGCCACGCTAGGAAACGTAGGTGCCCAAGCGCTGTGGGTGATGGAGAGAGCGTGGGGCGAGACTGAGGGTGGAGTTACCGCGCAGGGCAGGAAGGGTAGAAAAGAGCGAAAAGGAGATCAGAGCAAAGGATGGGACTAGAACAGCAAGCACAGTGTCTCAGCCGCAAGCTGTAAGTGGGCACCCGGAGGCTGAGCGAAAGGGCAAACTTCACTGAAACCGTTAGCAACATTTGAGTGCCTGGGGTGGGAGTCTGAAGAGGGCTTCCTTGTGTTGGTTAGGATTCGTCTTACTTCACTTCATCTCAGCTCAGATCGCACTCTGTTAGAATTTTCTAAATCTTCTTGTTATTTATTCTCTTTAGAAACCATTGCAGTTGAGACTTAATAATTTATTCAGCGGTGCTCATTTAAAATGTCTGCCACCCCCGTTAGAATATAAACTTCATGAGGATAACAGCCTAGCATGAGAACGGTGATGCTTTGCGCATGAAGGGTGCTCAGAATTCGTTGCTGATAGTGAATGTTTAGTTTCTTCAGCGAGTTCAGAGAGGACTCTTGCCTGTCTTGTGTGCAGATTAGTGCTGAGCCGTCCTACTGACCAGGAACCCGGAACTTCCCCAGGCTGAGGTCTAAAGACCAGTGTCCCCAGGCTGGCCTGGGCCTCCCACTGCTGTACAGCTGTGTCTTCTCACAAGATAATATTCTACTTCGTTTCTTTTTCTGCTTTTTTTTTCTTTAGCAAAAATATATAAAAGAAAAATAAATTTGGGCAGTAGAAAACTTAAATATTTTTAGGTCTAGCATAAATTGAAATTTGAAAATAGTACTTTTTAGATCATTGTTACTTAGAATCATTGATTTGAAATTAATTTCATATTAACTTTCTCCAATTTTTTGAATTTTAATTTCCATAGGTTAATTTCACCTACCAGTTTTTGAAAAAGAAGTTTTATATCTTTAGCCAGTTTATGTATGATGAGCATATCAAATCCAGATTGATTAAAGACATTCGATTTTTCAGGGAAATTAAGGACCAAAATGATCATAAGGTATGCTGTATGTTCTTTTTAAGATACTTTGATTCAACTCTTAAGTGTATGGCAAATGTTTATGCAGAATTCATCAGTTAGCTCAGTGGGGTTTTAGTTTTCTTTCTTACTTTTTCACTTGTCTCCCAGGCTGGCTCTGCACCTTCTCTTTTCCCCTACGATCTATGCTTTGCATTCTCTGTCAGATTCCACATAAGGAGAAACTGAATGATCAGTACAGCCACATTCACTTTCTTGAGTTTTAAAGTAATACAGATGGTGCATTTTGAAACATTTAAAAAGTATAAAGTGTGTGAACCAGCCCCTCAGTTTCTTTCCTCCCTGTTTCATTTTCTGGAAGCAGTTGCTGTTAAAGGATGTGCTTCCATCCACTGGTCACACGTCTGGACAGATGTTTCTGGAAGGAATTACTTTCTCTTTTTTTTCAGTCTGATAGAGCTGTTGGGGATTAGAGACCAATACTAGTGGTAGGGAATTTGAATTTAGTGGCCCTGATTATTACTACCTTTAGTTAATATCAAGAAAAAAAATTATATTGGCCTTGAGCATGAGCAGTTGTTTTTTTGTTTTGTTTTGTTTTTTGAGACAGGGTCTCAGTAAGTAGTTCATCCTGGCCTTGAACTCACTACGTATCCCCGGCTGGGCTGGAACTCATGGGGATCCTCCTGTCTCACCCTGCTGACTGCTGAGATTACAGATGTATGCCACTACGCCTGCTGTTTTACAAATTTTTGTCATTAGACTTGAGGGTTTTATTTTTTAAAGCAGAATGAAGTAAAATTAGAAAGTAGTATTGGCATGGTTATTTTGGTAGTCATTTTCTGCCTTAGGGTCTAAAGATAGTTTTACAATTCTCTCTCCAGTACCCTTTTGATAGAGCAGAAAAATTCAACCGAGGCATCCGAAAACTTGGAATAACACCAGAGGGCCAGAGCTACCTTGATCAGTTCAGGCAACTCATCAGCCAGATTGGTAAGCTATTATATTGGGAAGTAAAGTGCAGATCTTAGGAATTACATATGCTGAGTAGCTTGTACTGATAAACAGCTGGTGCTTAGCTCAGTGCTATTTCCCTGGGGGAGTTTTCTTACCAGAATTTGTGCTGCAGAAATAATTGGTAGACTGTAGACTAATGAAAGTTAAATAAAACCTCTTCCATCAAATTAGTCATCTCAGAGGTCATATTAAAAATTAATAGTCAACCAGGAAGCAGTTACTGGGTACCCACTGTTCAAAGCGTCATTATCACTTTGAGCTTTTAAAAGAGGTTCTCTCAGCCAAAATGTGAAGTATGAAACATTTATGTGAAAAGGTAGTAACTTAAATTACTACAGATAAAATACCACATGCCACGTTTTGTGTTACACCAATTTAATACTTGTGTAGATAATTTGTTCTGTTGCCTTATAAGTAAAACTTGTCTTCTGAAATACAGTATAGTATATTTAAGAGCAAGAACTACATGTAGAAATGATTGTGATTAACAAAATCTTACCCTTTTTGAATTTTTCACAAAAATTACCTGCATTAAGTGCCCTCCCTGTAACCCTGTGAGGTAGGCATGTAATCAGGTTTTGTTCCTTTTGAGACAGGCTCTCGCTGTATAGTCAAGGCTGGCCTTGAACTTGCTACGTAGTCCAGGCTGGCCTCGAACCCTACATTGCCTGCCTCAGCCTCCCACCTGCGTGCACCACCACCTCTGGCTGTGTAATCACTGTTTTAAAAAGGTGCAGAGAGCAAAATCAGAGAAATAAGAAGTGGTTTTGCTGAGACTTAACCAGGCTCGTTTAGCTGTAAGTCCAAAGGTGTCTTACAGTCTTCAGTTTGTATTAACTGACACTGATGAGTTACTAAAATCTTACTGATTCTATTTTGGGAAAATTTTGCCTCCTGAGTTTGATTCATTTATCAAACATTTACTAAGCATCAGTTACACCGAGCATCCTGCTTCAAGCTGGGTCTGCAAACGGCCTTTGCTCCCAGGCGGCTTCCTTACTAGTGGGAGAGATATTCTGAGGTTCGCTCTGGAGTAAAGTCAGGGTGCTGGCTTAACTATGTATATTACTGGGGTTGCAGATTAGCTTTTCCTGTTCTGTTTTAATGTAAGAACTTAGAGAATCTTGCCTTCGTAAACTTTTTATCTTAAGCTACTTAACATGAGGTATGCCAGCTAAATATGTTTCTTTAAGGAGACAGTTGATACCATATTAGAGGGCAAATTTTCTTTCTTTTTTTTAAGACAGGATCTCACTATGTAGTTCAGGCTGGCCTTGAACTTGCTGCGATCCTCCTGCCTCAGCCTCCAGAGTGCTGGGATTATAGACATGTGCTACCATGCCCAGCCCACTTGGCAAACCACTGGCACGATAGTGCTTAGCCGCTTTGAGGTTCTGATGAAGGTGACTTCCCAGAGCTAATGCCGTCTGCTGTGCATGGGGGATTTTGTGTGGACTGTGTAGGAGCTTCGGGCTCGCTCTGCGGCCCTCCTCCTGGAGCAGTGTGCACACAGAGCAGGGTCCATGCTGTCTGTGCTGTTTCACTTTTTATAGTTTTTGAAAGTATAACTTTATCTGAAGAAGTAACACTTAGATCCTGGGCTTCAGAGTACTAGTTCATTTTCCTGATACAGGTCTGTGTCCACGGCCACTGAGAGTTGTTCTGGGCGCGCTGTCGGAGAGCACTGCCCTCTTCACTTTATCCCGGCATTCTACTCTTCACTTGCTCACTTAACAACATAGCTTCGTCTCTGCCTATAAAGCACTGCAATGTGCTTTCGAGTCTGTTAGCATTTTGAGAAAAGGAGTAAAGAGCTGAGAGCCAGGTGGAGTCTCCACTAGTCTGCCTGCTGGAGTAGCTAACAGCTGCCGCTGGCCCTGAGCACTTACTAAGGGCCCTGTGCTGTCTGTGCTCTGGCTCATGGGAGATCACCAGGCTGCAGGATCACTTCAGTTCCTTCCTTCCACAGGTACTTCTTTAGGACAGCGAGGCTTCTGGGTGCTGATGTTGCTTCCTTAGGACACTAAGCACAGCCTGTGCCTGGCGAGAAGACTGACACACATAGATTACATAGGTTGAGCAAAGTCTTCTGTTAGCAAGTGCCAGAGTCTGCCTTTGAACCCGGGAAGTCTGGCTTCAGAATTTTTGCTCCTCCACACTGTGTTGTGCTTTCTTGTCACATTTTGTTCAGCTAGACATTAGTCTGACAATTTGGAGGAAAACAATGAAATTAGGTACTTGCTTTTTCTAAGATCCACATTAGAAGAAAACAAAACAGCTGGATGTGGTGGTGCACGCCTATAATCCCAGCACTCCAGAGGCTGAGGTAGGAGGATTCCCGAAAGTTTGAGGCCAGCCAGGGGTACATAGCAAGACCTTCTTTCAAAAAACAAAAAACCCAAAACAAAACAATTGGGATAGGCATTAAAATAGATTCAGCGACTCCTGTAGGGTGGTTAACATTGAAACATGCTACGCTAATGATTGTGGGGCGTGAACTGCTTACCTTTCGTCTGTTCTTTGGGCCAAGTGATTTCAATTCCGTTCATGCTGGATTCCTGCTTTGTGCAGGATGCGCCGGCTCTTCATTGGAGCAGTGGAGACCGAAAGGCTCGGCTCGTGGAGCTTGGCTTTGGTGTGGGGTGAACAAGATGAGAGCCATCTGCGGTGCTGAGTACCGCATAGGAGATACAGTGCTCCGCAGTGATGCTCTGGGGCACTTCCAGGGGGGACCCTTGAGCAGGACCTGAGTCCCCTGAGGACAGCAGCCTTGTGCTGCCCAAAAGAGTGCCAGACAGAGCCACACGGAGTGAGCGCAGAAGCCCAGTCTGTCTTGCCGTGTCAAGGATTATCAGGGCTGGGAGTAGTCACCCGAGTGGTGGGAGCCACAGCGCCTAGCTGCCTGCTTCCCCCGGAAGGGTGGGCTTCCCTCTGGAGAGGACAGCCCTCCTGGGGTTTTCAGGAAATGCTCATGTTAGGGCGTCACTGATTTCCAGGTCAGGGGTGGTGAGCCTGTGGGATGCATGCGCAGGAGCTGCTGTTCTCATTGAAGGCGCTGAGACGTCTGCTGCTGTGCTGGGTAGAGGGAAGATGGGGGTGTGGCCAGAGGCTACAGGTGAAGCAGGGGAATGAGTCTGTCGTGTATCGGAGTGGGCCAGGCCAGGTGCAGTGATGGTTGGCGTAGGACGAGGTGTGAAGGTGGTGAACGTGGTTGGATTCTGGCTACATCTTCAGGGCAGAGCCGACACTAATTGTCCAGTGTTGAGATACAGGGTGCGAGGGAAAGGGAAGAGCCAGGGTGGCTTAAAGGCATTTGGCCTGAGCAGCTGGAAAGGCAGGGATTGGCGCTTTCTGAGGGAGGCCTTGTGCCAGGGGACAAAGATCTCAAGTTTAACTGGACGTTCACAGTTTAAGATTCTTCCAGATATGTAGGTGTGAACACTGGATTAAAAAGGCCAGGAATTCAGAGAAATCCAGGGTGGGACTATGTTTGGCAGAATGTAATAAAGATATTTTTGGTACGTGTGTGTTCGTGTGTGTGTGTGTGTGACAGCATGAGGGGAGTCCCAAGGTGGGAGTGAAGAAATTATTAGTGCTCTACTTTTAAAATGTTTGATCGTGCAGTATAGTCAGCATTTAATAAATTTATCAACTGAAAAAGTCAAACTTATTTTTAAATATGTAATGTAGATAAATATAATTGTACCTTTATATTTTAAGTGCAGAAGTAGCCAACAGTTTTTTTTTTGTTTTTTTTTTGGAACAAGGACTGAAGTAAAGCAGCAGAATGTCTTTGTACTTAGGAATGGAAACCTTGTAACTGACTACATATATAAACATCTGTTTTTTTGTGTGGCTTTTAAGGTAATGCTATGGGCTATGTACGAATGATAAGATCTGGTGGTCTTCATTGTAGCAGCAATGCCATTAGGTATGGATGCAAACATTTTTGACTTGTTTATCCCATTTTAAATTATGTTATTAAATTTCTCTTGTGATATAAGTGATATTGTAGAGAAGGGTATTTGTTTTTGTTAATATATTTTGAGAGAAAAATGGAAGAAAACCATTAATCCTACTAGATAGATTTTTTTTCCTTTTTAAATTTTAAGAGTGATTTAGACTGTTGAAGGTCTTTATTTTTCTTAAGCTTATGGTTAAATGATTTTGTCAGTATAGCTGATGAATTAGTAGATGATTTTAAGGATTAAAATATGATATCTAAAATTTGATTGTAACTAAAGTGGTGATCTTAACAGTATCACTGAAATACGAAGTTTTTCCTGAGGTAATAGTTGAAAATCTTTGAGTGTTACAGTACCACTTGCCTGTCTGTGTCGGCTGCACATATTTTAGTTGCCTTAATAAATTCCTTCCCAAATTCTTATGTAGATTTGTGCCTGATCTTGAAGATATTGTAAATTTTGAAGAACTGGTAAAAGAAGAAGGTCTTGCAGAAGAAACGTTAAAAGCAGCAAGGTAATACAGTTTTGGAATAATCTAAATTTGGAAGTTTAAAAAAGCATGTTTAGCTAGGTGTGGTGGTATATGCCTATAATCTTAGCACTTGCGAGGCTGAGGCAGGACAGTCACTGAGTTCAAGGCCAGCCTGAACTACATAGTGAGACCCTATCTCAACAAACCAAAAAACAGTGTGTTTGTATAAAACATTAAAGAGAAGACTGTAGGATAATGTGTAATTTATATGGCAGTGTATTTTTCGTATGAATTATGGTCTCGGTTTTATATTGGTTTGTAAAGACTTCAGTACCCTCAGGGTACTGAAAGGGCTGCTGAAAGGGGTCCATGGAGCCCAGGCCCCGTGTGGCACCACTGGCCCTGTGCAGCTCTCGGACGCCTACACTGTGGTTGGCTCACACAGCTCACCTGAAGGCTTAGTGTAGGGAAGGGCGTGCCAACGGCTGTTTTGGAAAGCTCATTTCTCTGCTGCTTTTCACTTTCAAGATTGTGTTGTAGCGCGCCCTGTGTGGCTGCTCACTGCTGGAGTATGACAAACGGAAATGGGAAGTGGATTTCAGGTTGATTTTATTTTGGTGTAAAGAACTCCTGGCTTATTGGAAGCGCAGGTCTCCAGACTTGAGCCAGTAAAGCCTTGTTCCTTAACGAAACTTAGAACCTGAGGGAGCCCCGAGGAGTTCAGAATTTGTTTAGCAACCAAATAAGCAGGTGGTGACTCTAGCTCAGGGCGTGCAGGTGTCATTATCCTGGATTTTAACTTTTTTTTTTATACTGGGAATTGAACTCGGGACCTTGCGCTTGTGAGGCAGGTGCCAGAACCACTGAGCTAAATCCCCAGCCCTGGATTTTAACTTTTTGATAGGCTTGATAGTTTAAAAAACCTAGAAAAGGGGCCGGGGATTTAGCTCAGTGGTTCCCCCGCCTGCCTTGCAAGCGCAAGGACCCAAGTTCGATCCTCGGTACCAAAAAAAAAAACCAAAAAAAAAACCTAGAAAAGGAAAATCCAGGTGTGCACGCATGTGCACGCATTTTGGTGCGAGTGACACCCTTCTCCCCTGCACAGAAGCTGTGCTCTGTGGGCGTAGCCTGGTTCATCTCCAGGTTACAGCCGCAGGCACGGTAATGAGCTGTTCAGTGTCAGGTGCTTGAAAGTGGTTAAAGTAGTTTGTGGTAGGTGTATCGAAGAAAGAAAGTTGGACCTTTACTTTTTGCTGACAGATATCATTTTCTCTAAAATTAGCATTTAAGAGATATTTTGAGGGAGTCCAAGGAAGTAGGAGTGCGGTGCTGTCTCTGAGGGACTCTCGGGTGAAGCTGCCTGCTGACTGCCAGGTCCAGTTTGTTTGAGGAGTGCCGGCTGGAAGGTCCTGGCAGGTACTGTGAGGAGCTGTAGGGCCCAGGAATGGACAGGGCCAAGCTGAGCCAGGGACCTTGTCCCTCACAGACCCGGGGCAGTATCACACAGCTAGTGAGGCTGGCTTTCAGCAAAGGGCAGAGGACTTTACAGATGCCCCTGGTTTATGATGGTTCAACTTGTCTCTTATTTTTACTTGCAACTTTACAGTGGTGTGAAAATGATCAGTAAAAACATTTTAAAAGATATTTTATCATCATCTTCATCATTATTATTATTATTATTATTATTGTTATTTTTGGCAGTGCTGGGATCAGACCCAGGGTCTGGTCCACTGCACTCCAGGCACAGCTGTGCTCAGAGTGCACGTTTGGCTCTTCTGCCTCGGCAGTGTGCCCTGCGACCCCGAAGCTAGGCAGTGTGGTAGCTGCCGCTCTGGGCATCGCGCGTGGCGATGGGGCCTCCCACACTTGACAACGTCTCGTGCTGCCAGGCTGCGGGGCTAGGGCAGAGGCGTCCGCTCTCGGCTTCAGGGTGCCAAGGGTTGATCCGCGCGTTGCCCGTAGCGGGTTGAAGAGCATCTGCTGTGGGCCGGCCCTGTGGGGAATGACAGTTTGAAAGGAGTGACAGCTTACACTTGGGTTCCAAGGAAAAAAGCAGCTCCTGTTTCTGAAGCTAAGGGAAAGGGAAGCTAAGTTCTTGAAGGAGGGCCAGGTTCAAGTTGAGGTAAAGAGATGGAGCATTAGCGTAGAGATTTAAAATGAAGAATTTGTTCGCACAGAGATGGGATTCTACAGGGTTCATCGTGGGCAGAAGTCCAGAACTCGTGAGTGCCAGGATGCTCTGTCCTGTGTGGCGGGGACTCAGGAGTTCTGTCCATAGAGAACAGGTGTGTTCTGCACTCACAGGCTTTGCTTCCTGCTTGCTGGTCTTAGCCAGCCTGCTGAGAGATGGGTTTTAAGACGCATACCTACTTTTGAAAAAGGAATCAGAGGTAATTACAAGCATTTTATTTTTATCCTTACTTTGGTTCTTAGGCATTTGGACTCCGTTCTCAGTGATCACACACGAAATTCTGCCGAAGGCACAGAATATTTCAAAATGCTTGTGGATGTTTTTGCTCCAGAATTTCGAAGGCCAAAGAATATACACCTCCGAAATTTTTATATCATTGTGCCTCCTCTAGTGAGTATTTGCACAGCCTAAAATGGATCTTTTTAAAAAGTATGGTAAATAATTTTGGTTTCCTTGTGGTGTGATGCAGATTCTGACTTTCTGATGTCAGGAAAACAACAAGCACCTCAGTGAGTATCGCCACAGGTTCTCCTGATCAGCTGTGTGGAAGGAGACTGTAGCTGAGATAGGTTCTTGTTAATAGATCGCAGGGAAGTCCTGTTGTTTTCAGATTGCCTCAATGTATGCCATTCCACTGTACCAGGCTTTGGGTGGGGTGCAGCGTAGTCATGGTAAGCCCTTACTGTGGACCCACATTAACTGGTGTAACAGGAGGGGTTTTCCAACACACCTCTTGGAAGCCTGTGTTTGAGGATAACTTCTCTCTGTGCAGTAGTAAACACTGACACCTAGTGTAAACTTTAATGCTTTCCCCTTGTGATAATATATGGAGTGTCCCGTTCTAATTCTATAGTTGCCTAAATATGGCTCAAGGTTTCAAAACTTACATTATAGGACCAGGGATGGAGCTTGGTGTTGCTTCACTTTCCTGGCAAGCACAAGGTCCTGAGTTTAATCCCCGGCACCTAAAAAAAAAATAACATTATAAAGACAGTTATTCCAGCAGGGAAAATGGAGCTGGGCATTTAGGTTTATAATAACAGTAAGGGTTACTTTCCCCTAAAGGCTTCTGTAATTAAATTTTTTGTTTCAATTTGTAAGCAGGAACCTCCAAATTAAGCATTGCTGAGTGGCCATAGCTGTTCATTACATAGAAGACAATAACTTTTTACGTTGTTATCTGAATTGTTAACGTACCTTCTTACATTATATAACTGCTGTCACCTAGTGGAAGTTGGAAATGGCTAATCACCTACAGATCATCTGCAGACATCTTTTTCCTTTATGAATTTTGTGTCTTATGCCGTTACTGTTGGCGGTCCTGACTGACACTGCAGAGAAGCATGTGTGTGTTTGTGTGCTGAGTGTCTTTCCGTCCTAGGCTGGGGTCCGGACAAGCAGCAAGGCCAGCTGTCTGTCTGACTGGTGGCGCCGGAGAGCAGCTCGCTGTGGCCTCAGCAGCGCAATGAGAGCTGGCACGCTTAGGGAAGAGCTGGAGTGTGCAGAATCCAGTTGCCAAGTAGATCCGGAGTGTGGAGGGTCTAGGACGCTGCTTTTGTGCATAGGTTTATCTAGGCCAGGAAAGGACAAGCTGTGTAAAAAGATTTTAATGAGAGCTGATAAGAGATTTCACAAGTAACATGATTAATTGCCAAATAAATTTCATAGGCAGTAAAAGTGAAATTTATATTTTGTTTCCTGTGTCAGCTGTTACATGGTTTTCACCCTGTCATGATTATTTTTTAAACAGTGCTGTCTGCACTTTAGAGCTTTGTTGTCCATGATGCAGCCACTTTAAATTAAAATTTTATGAACTGAAAATTTCAGCTCCTCGGTCTGTCTAGAGCTCGGGGCCAGGTGTGACTTGGGCTCTGCAGATACGCAGCATTTCTGCTGTAGCCATTAGTGTTGCACACTGTGAACGTGAGCTGCTGACCAGTTTTTCAGTCAAAGGTATTTGGTATATAGTGAGCTTCAGTGAATCTTTGTTAAATAAATGGCTTGATAGGATAAGGTATTTTAGAAAAGCAGGATTTCAAGAGAAAGTACTGTTCTGAGGAATTTACCCTTTAGCTAAAGGGCTGCTAACCCTTTTCACCAAGAACATGGGAAGAAGCAGTGTTTCAGAATGCATGGGGCAGGTGGAAGTGAGGGCTGCCCCGTGTGAGTGTGGCAGAAGAGGCCCGCTGTCTGACGCCCATGGCCTTGGCGGAGAGGCTGGATCTGCTGGTGTCCTCGTCTCTGAACTCCAGACGCTGTTCTGTCACGGCCCACAGACCCGGGCTGCACAGTACCCGCGTCACAGATGGGTGGCTTGGTGCGGCTCCGAGCAACCCCAGCACGTCCTACTGTGGGCACAGTGCCAATGGTGTAGCAGATCCTGGGTGGAAGTTTTGAAATGTCTCTTAGGAACTAAATTTTGAAGATTTCCTTAACCTAACTTTGACTCTGATATCTGTTATGTTTTTAGACCCTGAACTTTGTAGAACATTCCATTAGTTGCAAGGAGAAATTGAATAAAAAAAATAAAATCGGAGCTGCCTTCACTGATGATGGTTTTGCCATGGGTAAGCTTAATGGAACTGTTTTCACGTTAACTTCATACCTTAAAATGGGCTCTTAGAAATGCTTGTGTGGGCCCGGGGATTTAGCTCAGTGGGACTGTGCCTGCCTCACAAGCACAAGGTCCTGAGTTCGATCCCCAGTACCAGAAAAAAAAAGAAAAAAGAAATGTTTGTGTGAAAATAGGTTTATGTGCTCTTTACAGGTTGTTTCTCGTGGGGCCACGTGATTAGCAGTCTTGCTTCTCATCTACAACTGTTGCATAACTCCCTCTTGGTGTCACTGATCGCTTGTCTAGTTTGCCTTCATACTCAGGCTTTGTTCTTGTTGTCGTCTTGTGGTTTCAGCGTCTTGTACTTAGTTCCCCTGCCTTCCCTGTGGCTTCCTCACTTGCTCTCTTTGAGAGGTGGAAGTTTTTATTCTCTGTCCTACAGCCATATGTTTTTCCAGGTGATTTTCATGGCTGCAGGATTGATTTATTCCCTTCTTAAGTGATTTTTCTCCTTTTTTAGTTCTTTATACTTTCACATCTTTTTTAAGGAAAGAAAGAAGCCATCTTAGTAAACATATTTATGCTGGAGAGTGTGATTTGAAAGACGATTAATTCAAAACAGTGAGCTTAGTGCCAAGAGCTACAGGTGAAGGAATGGAATGCGATGTCTGTCATTTAACTTTGGTCTTGCTCATGGCGGCAGGTGTGGCCTATATCCTGAAGCTTTTGGATCAGTACCAGGAGTTTGATTCCCTTCACTGGTTCCAGTCTGTTAGAGAGAAGTACTTGAAGGAGATGAGGGCAGTGGCTAAGCAGCAGAACGTGCAGTCGGCTGGCCAAGATGAGAAACTGCTGCAGACCATGACTCTTACTCAGAAGCGACTGGACATCTATTTACAGGTAGAGGCGAGCAAGCACCAGCTCTGCTTTGACTTCCTTTTCAGTGTCTGAAAACCGGAAGCCATGTGGAAACCCTATTTTTTAACAAGTGAGATGAGTAGTGGTAAAAATATATTTTAAAATTAATAGTATTTGCAAACTGTTTGACTCAGATCTTAAAAAGGGGTAAGTTAGTTGGTTCAGTTTCTGTATTTGTGAATTCTACTAGAACTTCTGGAAATAGTACTGTAATAAGTATTTTCCCCTTTTATTTCAAATTTGTTTGCTTAGGAATTTGAATTGCTGTATTTCTCACTGAGCAGTGCGAGAATTTTCTTCAGAGCAGATAAGACTGCGGCTGAAGAGAGTCAGGAAAAGAAAGAGAGGGAAGGTGAGTGAGTGGAAAGACCGTACGTAACAGTAGACAGGAGTACCCCATTTTCTGGTCACATTTCTAGCTTCCTTAGTCTTTTGGAAAATAATACAGACCTAGAAATAAAAGTTGTTAAAAACAAAAAAAACCCAAAATCTCAAGCCAGTCTGGATCTTGGGGTCATGCGTCAGATTGAAGCACACGCCTCTGTGGAACTCTTCAACCCCTGACTCGGCTTCGTCTTCGCATCAGATGACATTTAGCAGGCAAGTTTTGCTTCTTTCACCGCTCACCTGTATGCAATCGGAATCGAAGGGGCCAGTTCGGGAGACAGCTGGGGTGGCTGAGGCAGAGCTGCTGCTGACTAGGCCTGGGCACAGCAAGCTGGGCAGGTGGCTAAGAGGGTGAGTCCTCGTCGGCAGTGCCCTGCTCCTCCTCATGGCGAGGCCCTGGAGCATCCGAGTGGGCGAAGAGGGCCGGCCACTGGCGGGCACACAGGCAGGGGAGGAGAAAGTACCTTCCTCCCGGAATGCTGAGAGCCTTGCTGAGAGTACTGCAGTGTTTCAGACTTGGTGTTTGGATCCCAGGTCTTCTTGCAGAAATGATATTTCCCTTTTCTGTCATGCAAATTACATAGTTTACATTTTTCTCTGTTGGGAAGGTCACAGCTAGATACAATACAGGCACTAGTTGACTAAAATTAGAGTTTTTGTGTTCTTCTTACCTATATTTCATGAGATTTTCATAAGATATAAGACTAACATGTTTTTATTCATCTTAAGTCAGACTTTAAATTGTACTTTTTCTTACACTTACAGTAGAGCCAATTAGATAAGTCACTTAATTTGAACTACCTTATTCTTTGATAATGTTGTATAAGTTAAATGTTAACTAATATTATTAGGAATGTATCCAGTCATTTTTAGAATGTGGACTAAGCAAACACTTGTTTGAAAAATTGAGGCCATTACTGGAAGATTACTGAGTATAGTAGACCTCAGTTCACGAATGGTTTCGTTTGCAAACAAGGTGGTTCACACACAGAAGCATTTGGCAGAATTTTGTCTTTGCAAACACAAGTGACACCAGGTGATGAACACAACTGCAGGCACCTTCCCACACAGACACAAACCTAGCCGTCTTTTCCAGAATCTCTCTAGAAGAAGTTAAGTTCATGAACTGAGGTACCACTGTACTTATTAAGTGAAAATGTGTGCGTATTATATTTAGGTTCGTTTTCAAGACTAAGATGAAACAGAACCGTTTGGAAGCGTGGGAGGCAGTAGACCTCAGTGGTGGGGGAGCTGAGCTGCCCAGGCTCTGCTCGGGCACAGGAGGATGCCCTTCTTAGAGGAGGGCACAAGACCAGCTGCCCAGTGCTCAACTCTGAGCTCCGCACTCCCATCAAGAGCCAGTTAAGACTTTGGCACCATTGAGCCTAGGTTTTTTAAAAATGTATTTTAATTTTTTAAAATGTTATTCATACGTGTATTCGTTCATTCTTTTATTTGAGATAGGGTCTTGCTATACAGTTCAGGCTGCCCTTGAACTCATTATATAGCCTAGGCTGCCCTTGAACTTGCTTCAGCCCTCCTGCCTCAGCCTCCTGAGGTCTGGAATTACAGGCAGGTGCCACCAAGCTCTGCATTTTAAAAGAATGGTTTTTTTGAGATGAGATTTTTAAAAAATTTAAACTAAATATTAGAGAAATATTTGATGAATGTAACCTTTTCTTAATTTCAAATTTAGTAATACAGCGCTTCTCAAGTTTATTTACGTCTTATACATTTTTTTAATGAACATAAATATATATCCATTGTTATTTTCACTGCCTCCAGAAGAAACAAAAACAAGCAATGGAGACCTATTGGACAATGCTGTCTCTGCCGATCCTGTCGTAAAATGATTCTGGGGTACAAGGTCATCAGAATACGTTCATACTTTTGCCAGTGAGGTGGAGGTCCTAAGCTGGGATGAATTGTTTCCTGGGTCATATTCTGGAAATATCTAGGTGTTGGAACTCAGGAAGGCAGTGCTCCAAAGTTCATTACACTTTCAGAGGCTCTGCTTTTCAGAGGTTGAGAATATGATTGTAAAATTGGATTTTTTCCTGGACTTTGGGCTGGGACATGCTCCTTGGAACAGTTGTTTGATGTGACATTACAGAAAGGCACATCTGGATTCCTGAGCAGTCGCCTCACATCTCTTGTAGTCTACATGAGTGTTTGTAATTTGTGTCGCATAGGTCTCTGGTCCCTGTTTATCTCAAGTCATCAGAAATTCATGTATACTCTGTACAGCCAGTTTCAATGTTCTTTTTGTGAAGGAATTGAGCCTGAAATTCAGGGAGCGACACTGACATTCTCATAGCAAGAGTATGCGAAGATGGCTTCGGTACGAGAGGGGAGCACAGTGTCCGGGCCATGGGCCTGTGAGTTGTCATTTCACGCTGCGAGGCCGCTCCTCGAGGAGACACTTTCTAACTAGTTGACTGCTTAGGGAACAGTTAGCTGCCAACAGCTGCTCTAGATTAAGATGTGCTCCACACTCAAAAGCAGTTCAGATAAAGCCATAGAGCCTGCTGGGAGCATCCCTTGCGGTTGAAGGCACTCTGTGTGACAGGAGAAAAAAACGGAGTGAATTGTTTCTATATCCAAACTCAGGTTTCTTCTGTGTCCAGTTAGGCTGACATCTTGGCGCTGGTCTGTGCAGAGCTTTCTTTATGACAAGTGTTATCTAGGGTACAAGATTAAATAATAATTGCACTGTGTAGCCTGTGTAAAAATGACCACTGTGAGAATCAAATTCTAATAAAATAAATCACTTACTGATTTTAAAAAGTGCAGAAAGATTTTCAGTAAATTTAGTTCCTGGCAAGCTACTACTATTATTTTTGTGAAGGTATATTAGTCAATGAATGGATTAACCATCCCCTTTCAAACATGGGATAAAATGGTACTTCACAGCAGGGGAAGGATTCCACCTTTCACTGCAACGTGACGTCCCTGTGGGAAGTGCTGGTCTCTCTCTGCTGCATCTGCCTGCTCGGCGCTTCCCCGGGTCGGGGCTCTGACCTTGCCCTCTGTTCTCAGCTTTGGGACTGAGGTACCAAGTGAGCCTTCTGGGGTCACCGCTAGGCTCCAGGCAGCCTTCCCAGCTTGAGATGAACACTTTTAATCGTCAGAGTCAGAAGAAGCAGTAGGGAATGGTTCCTGCTTACTATGGAAACATGGCAGAATTATGAACAGTGAAGGAATAGAGGATTTAATATTTCTAATTCATACTAACTTAGAAATGGCCCTAAAGCATGCTGCATAATTAATAATTTATATTTCAATTATAAATGTTTATATTAATGATAGTGCATTTGATTATATCAATAGTTACCATTTCATAGCAGCAGTATTGTTTTCTGATCGTAGCTTCCTAAAACTGTCCCATTTAATAGGGATAGATACTATAATTAGAGAATCTCGAGTTCTCTGTCTCACACGAGCAGATCAGATCTTAGAGCTTCATGCTGACTGATGCCCTGCATCCGGACAGCCGAGAAGGGTGACAGATCATTTCACCCTTAGTTCCAAACAGCGTCACAGTGGGGTGGCTGAGTCGTCGGGGCTCATGCATTCAAGTGAAGTCTGTGAGTTGAGTGTTCAGTGGTACAGACTGCAGAGCGGCAGGGCACCATGCATCCCCGCCCGGGTTAATGTACACCTGTAGAGGGTGGTTTTCCCTCCTAACATATGAGTGTTAATATTTTCTCAGACAGACTGTAATTTAAAGACCAAGGTGAACATTGGTTTTAAGTTCACAGAAGAATTATTGATGTTGAAATTCTCAGGAATTAAGGACTAACCATACTTTTGTCAGTTCTAATTAGATTTTGTAAAAGATAGCAAGTTTGTTACCTCCTCCAGTTGTAAGTGAATTCACTATGTATAAATAAAATATTAATAAAAATAATTTGAAAACTTTCCTTCTCCTTGCTGTTGATGTTCAGAATTGAGTGTCTTAAACTAGTAATTAAAATTACCTTTTGAGAGGTTTCCTTAAGTCTAGTAAAATATATGGAATCTCTTTTTTAAAAAGGCCTGCAAAATTTTGTGATATTTGTAATATTTGGCAGCTTTTTAAAAGTGTACAAGCTTTGGACTTCACTAACCAGGGTTCTCTCTCCATTGATGATATCACTGGGTATTTTTGTCAAACCTTTGGATGTGAAAAAAATGCAGCTTCATAGGGGAAACATTTCAGGTGCAGATTAATTTAGGGCTTAGTCCGTGTACCTGGTAAAGAACTATTGTCTTCTTTCCTTTATACACACTCGATCTTTCCATGGCTTGATATTTTCACCCAAGATGAAGTGATTTTAAATCCTAATCCTGGAAGAGAGGGGTCCTGCGTATGTAGTACTGATGTGTTAGAAATAACTGGAGTCCTATTTTCAGGCACGAGTTGAACTGAAACAGTAATGAGTAAGTTTTTTTAAATCTGGAGGCGAGAGACAGTCCTCTTAGATATTCCGGAGAAATGTCTGCTGCCCTTCGGAGGTCAGTAAATTTGTAAAATTATGGGAAGGATAATACTGCTTGTTACTCTTCTTGTTTGGGTTTGCTAAATGTAAAAATAGTTTCACCAGTTTAAATAATTTTAACATGATTGTCTTTCTAGACTCAATGTGGCAGACATTTCAAACTGCATTTCCTTTCTTAGGCAGGTTTTAATGTCACCTGCTTTTGAAACCAGCGTTTAGATGTTTGGAACAACTTACGGGGTTGTCAAGAGATGTCAGATACACTGGGCGTGGTGCCGCACACCTGTGATCTCTGCACTTGGGAGTCTGAGACAGGAGCATTGCCGTGAGTTTGAGGCCAGCCTGGGCAAAGATGTCAAATAGAGAATCCAGAGGAAGTGGAATTTAAGCAAAGCCCTAAGGACTGACTATGCAGGAAACGCCAAGATGCTGATGGCCAAGGTAGAGTTCATACTCATAAAAGTAAAGCCATGCAAGCAGTACAGTATGTAAAACGAAAAGCTGGGCCAGTGAATACTCGCCTCAGGTCCTGCAGTGTGGCCCTTCGTCACGTAGCGACGTCCTGATTCTCGGGTCATCTCTGAGGACTGTAAATACAGTGTGTGACATACGGGCGACCCATGCGTACCGAATCACTCTTTAGTAGTGCCCTCTCATGATTAGGTGGGGGAGTTAACTTTTATACCAAGAAATAATCTCTTGTTTTTCAGTTTTTCATTTTGAGACAAGAGTATCACTATGTAGTTCAGCCTCACCTTGAACTCACTGTGTAGCCCAGGCTGGCTTCAAACTTAGGATCTTCCTACCTCAGCCTCCCGAGTGCTGGAGAAATACCTGTCTGTATAAAACTTACTATTAAGGAATTTAATCTTTGCAGAAATTTGTACAAAAGGTAGCCAGGCATAAAGATACCTCAGTAGAGTTACTAGGATAATCTTTAAAGTTTACCGGATCGAGAAACATTCAGAGATTGCGCGTCTCCGAGGTCAGGCACGTAGCGCACTGTGGTGAGCAGCACAGCCTCTAGGCCCAAACTGAGCAAGTCCCAGCCTGCCCCCCACGCCCCACCACAGGCTTGCAGGCAGCAAGTGGGCCAAGAGAGAGTATGGAGGTTTGAGGATGAATTTGCATACAGTACTGTAGTAGTAAGGAACAGTAGCCATTATACGTGTGGCTATCGTATATTAATGTAAGGGCCAGGGATGTAGCTCAGTGGCACTGTGCCTGCCTTGCAAATGCAAGGTCCTGAGTTTGATCCCCAGTACTGGAAAAAAACCCCAACAAAACAATTCTAATTATATATTACTATAAATGCCAGCTATTATATATAGCTTATTATTTCTGCTCTCTAGATAGAAAGGCACTTGTTTGGTGTCAGCTGTTTTAGGAGGAAAGTTTGAAAATAAGCAGACTGAATGGGTCTCTTAAGAGATGTACTTTATTAACCCATTTAGGCTAAAGGTTGCAATTTTTTGAATTTTTATGTGAAATTCATATATATTACCTAAGAGAAAAATACAAGGAACAAGAATTTGAAGAGAAGAATTTATATTATGTGCCATTGTTTTGCGGTATTCCAAACCTGGAGTGCTAGGCCGGAAAGGATGAAGGGGCTCGGCCTGTGGAGAGGATGCAGGCATCTGAGGGCAGCTGATGGCCAAACCCAGACTGCAAACAAACTTGGTAAGGAGAGCTGGCCTCTGAAAAGGTGCCCTGCCCGCCTCTCCTTTAGGCACGTAGTGCTTTATCTGCATCGACACACAGTTCAGTAAGTGGAGAAAGGGGAATCACTTGGTGATCCCAAATCTTAAAATTATTCAAACTGTGCAAGTTCCCTGCCCCGGGAGGCAACTACTGTGTTCGGTTGGTAACCAGTACCTTGCTGCTCTCTAGTTTACAACCTTTTTGCATCTTCCTAAATAATGTTTTGCATATTTAACTTAATATAAATGGAATCTTTTTTTTTTTTGGTACTGGGGATTGAACTCGGGTCCTTGTGCTTGCGCAGCAGGCGGCAAAACCACTGAGCTAAATCCCTGGCCCCAGTATAAATGGAATCTTATTGTATGTTTTGATGATGCTGCTTCAGTATTTTAAAAATTCACTGAGACTCAGCTGTGGTTTAATATCTGTAGTATCCAGTTACAGGAGTGCAGATACTGAGCTGTTCTGTTGGTGGCGTTCGGGGTTTCACAGTGGACACTGAACAGTGCCGCTCTCCCAGCACGTGAGGGCCAGGCAGTGGGCAGGCCCCTCCCCGCGGGCTGCAGGATGCCGCTCTGACCGCAGTCTGGTGCGTGTAAGTATCTCAGTGTGCTTTTCATTCGCACCTCCTGATTACCATGTAAGGTTGAGCATAATTCAAATCTATGAAATGACTTTTTAAAAATGTAATGATGGAAAATGTTTTCTATATTGTGGGTGTCAGGTCTTGTTGCCTTGTATCTTTTCTCAGTTAATTGTTTTCATTCCTTCTGCGGTGTTTTGATGAAGTTTTTAAGTACTGAGTTTTGGTTTTTATGCCTTCCTCATGCACTGCATCCTTTGTCTTATTGAACCCACACTGTTTCAGCAGTGCCTTAGGACTCGGGATTCTGCTCCCCACTGCTGCCTCCACTGAAAAAGTCTAAGCCTCAATAAAAGCTTCTGGGAGATGCGGCTCTTGCAGCCCGAGAGAACTTCGGGCGGCCCAGCATTGGTGGACTTGGAGGTTGCTTGCTGGTGTGGAGTCACACGAGCGTAGGGGGCTCACGTTTCCCTGGTGCTGTGCACCATAGGCACAGTCTCCTGACAACCCTCCGAGGGTCACCAAGCTTGGGCTGCCAAAGTTGTTTATCCCATCATTTTAAAGTGCTCTACTCATACTGAACAAAGGTGTTTTGGGGTAGTTGACCCCTCTGCTGTAAGTGCATTATGCAATTAACCATTTAAGCTAGAGAACTCACTTTGGTTCACTTCCCGGGATGCTCTAGAAAATAACCACAACAAACAGAGGAAAAGAAACAATGTAATCATTGCTAGGTTAATTTATTACACAGGTAATGATAGTCTGTTGAGCTTGTTATAGTTAAACCGATGTACAGTTCAGGAGCTTTACCCTTAACTGCTGATGGAAATGGACCACACCAAGCCCCTGCCTGCCTTGCCTCCAGTGAGTGAAAACCCACCGGTCCGTCCTGTCCTCGGGAGGTCTGGCTCAGAAGAAAGGAGAACAGCAGCTGTGCCCTGCCTGGCCCCAGCAAACCCCACAGCAGTCAGGTCGGGAGGACCCGAGCGAGTGCCTGCTGGGTGACGCCTGGCGTCTCCTGTGGTTCTCAGCTGCTGGTCTTGGATCAGTGATGCCTGGGACTTGCACCAGCTGGTACATCACGGGCAGTGCTCGCAGCGCTGCAGGACCGACAGGATGAGCTGGCTTTCCGTACACTTTCAGAACAACAGGCACTTCAAGCTCATTAGGTAAAATACAAAAATAGATTATATTAACAGGAAATATCTAGTATTTATCAAATTGTAAATCTAGGCCTCTGCCGTTTGTAAGGACAGCGGAAACAGGAGAGATGGCATCTGAGGAAAGCGGAAGGTGCATCTTCCAAGCTTCCGACGAGCGCTGACAAGCGGCCTACGGAAGCACTCACCACAGAGCACCTAAGAACAAGTGTAGACGTAGGGACGCGGCCACCCACGCCGCCTGCTCCTGCCCGAGTCTCATGAAGGCATCGAGGGGCGCACACGCAGTCAGCATCCTGAAACCAGGCCGTGCGCCTGTGCGGCAGAGAAGGTGGGAACCCTTGAGGAGGGGCCCCGCCGGCCACTGCCCTCAGGCCCGGGACTCAGGCTTCCGACTCTGCGCCTTGGTTCCCACGTGGGCTGCCCTCCGCCTGGTCGGTTAGCAGGACATACTTCCCATCATTGGTTAGTGGTACGGACAGCATTAGTTGAGCCAGCGCTTCTGGATCCTGAAGGTAGAGTTTGAGAGGGACAAAAAGGAAGAGAGAAAAGAAAAGGCTTGAGGTGCACTTGAACCCTGGGGCTTGGCTTTCAGTGAATGCTGTGACCTGGCTGCTCCTCACTTGCCTGTGGCGCTTCAGCCCGAGCAGGCTGAACGAAAACGTGAGCCCAGGCTGTTTTCCTCTCAGCCAGGACATTTACAGAGCCAGTTTGTTACCGTCTCCCACAGGGGACCTTCTGCTCACACACAGCCTTGTCCTCCTCGTCTCTGGACACCTCCTTATAGTCTGCTCCACAGCAGGAGCTGGCACGCATTTGGCTTGGCTTACCACGCGTCACGCACACACACAGGCCACTCGTTTACCTGCCGCCCGTGGCTGCTGCTGTGCTGCAACACTGAGTGGCGGGTGATGCGGCTGACAGAATAAGCCTGAAGATGAAGACCTCAGCAAAGTAGGTCTGCTTCTGACCTGCACTGACAGCTGGGGGGAACCCGCCATGCTTGCCCTCTCCTGTATGCTGGTCTTCCTGCCCTCCCCGGCGAGCCGGATCCCCGGGGAGTGTGGCCACTACCTACGTGTTTCTGGTTAGAGTTCAGCAGCCCAGTTCCTCACTCATACTAACTGCACTTGGCCTGCACGTTAAATAATGCAGCTCTAGTGCGCCCGTTCAGACCCTGCCGAGTGAGAGGCGCCCAGGAGGGGTGCGTCTGTCCCGTCACTGCTAACAGGCTTTTTCTCCTACAACTGCTGGGTGACTAAGCTGCTGAAGGACAGGAGGACTGTTCAGGACTAGTCAGTGCTGCGGGCTGGGTGCGTCCTCAGAGGACCAGGCCCAGGCCCTGGGGACTTGTCTGTGTCGCTGTCGTGGTTTGAAAGGGGAAACAGACAGGAGCACACAAGCAAGAAGGTTACACGGCAGAGCTGCAGCGTTGATGCTGGTTAGTAAGTGCAAACTCATCAGCACTGAGCCCAGAGCCTGCGCGTCCACATCTGGCAGTCAGGAGGCTTAGGAAGCCCACCCCGACCGCTGTCTGGGAAGCACTGCTCCTGCTTGAGAGCAGCTTCCTGTGTGGACAGATATCCTTGAAGTAGTTGTTAAACCAGCACGAAAATCCACCTTACCTTCTGAACCTCAATAATTTCTTTCCCCAAGTTAACAGCATAACATATCTGCAAAAGACAAGAAAAGCAGTTTTTAGCAAAGCAGGAAAGGATAAACACCTTAGGGAAAATGTGTGAGCCAGGAGCATGGAGAGGCCACGCCCACTGAGGCGCGCGGGGCTGAGGGCCTGGTCCCGCTCAAGCGAGGTTACCCACCCACTGCGTGTCGGGGTTCACAGCGGCACCTGGGTGCTCCATGAGAGGGGTCAGTGCCGACGGGCTCTAAGTGCCAGGTGTGACCATGACGTTTTCATACTAATCAAAGCCCGGCTCAGATGTGCTTCCCCCCGCTTCCCCGGTGCCTCCTGCCTGGTTTGCTCTGAGGCTGTTCTCTATTGTAAGTCTTGCTTTAATTCTCTATTTTCAGAACAGATCTAACCTGCCTTAACATTTTATGGTATTCCTACCAAACAGTGCAATCCTGCCATTAACGTTCCGCCTCGTCCACTCTCCTGGGTGCAGATTTTCCCCTAGGGAAATTTCAGCGCAGCCAGTGTCCCTTCAGTGAGGTGGAGGCTTCGGAGGTGGCCACCCAGACCTCTGGGGGGATAGTTCCTGCCCCAGTGCTCTCCCCCGATAAAGAGGGACCTTTCTGGACTGAGCTGTTACAAATATGAAACACAAACAAGACCTTTTCGCCTTCTGAGTTGCTTTCGAAAATGTACGCGCTCAGAGACTCTCCTCCGGTGGACTCAGGCATGCGGACGACAAAGCCAAACAGTCTCCTGTTCTCTTGATGAGCAGCGAACTGGGTGACACTGGTGAGTTCAAACTGGGGCGAGAGGGACACACTGAGTGGTACCACCAGTGGGAGTCAAAACCAGACAGGGCTGCTGTTCCCGGGGAAAGTTGGGAAGAGGCCACTCTAGTGACAGCCACGTAATGTGGCCATTTACCAAGTGCCTCGGTCAGCGGTGGCGAACCTATGGCACTCATGCTGCAGTGGGCTGTGTATTAGCATGGAAAGCTCTAAGAGGTGCGCCATCACTGCTGTGCTCGCAGTAGGTAGGAAAGTGAAGATGTACTTACATTGGCCCTTGACACCTGCGTCTGAGGATCTATCAACCTGAAATTTTAAGAGATTGCTTATGTCAAAGACGTTGAGCAAACACTTCCTTAAGAGTCTGTAAAGTTCAGCAGGAGTCACACCGACACCCTCAGGTTGACGGAGAGGCCTGGCTGAGGGTCAGGGGAGGCAGTTCCCGTGGCCGTGCCTGTGGGTTCTGCCTCTGCCGAAGCCATGTGAAGTGCAGGGTGGTGACAGTGGAGGCTCACACAGCAAACAGCTAACCCCACAGAAAGTGGTGCTATCTGAAGCAGCGGCATCATCACCGCCAACAGTCTCCTGTCGTGTGGGTGGGTCAGAATCTACCTCCTTCCCCACAAACCTTCACTGGTATTTCATTCCCTGGAAGTGCTCCCAACTTATTCTAAATTTAACTGTAAACACACATGGGGTAGGGGTGAGAGAACAGTAAGGGATCTGACAACGCCATTCTCTGTTACTGTAAACATAAGAGGAGTGATGCTTAATTAAGACATTCGAGAATGTGTTCTTTAATAAAATTTGAAGCTTCATCTAGCAGGAAGGCTGAGGTACCTCAGGACTGTATTAGAGAATTTATTGCTGCCTTAAATGCCAGTGGTACCTCCGTTTATGAACGCTTTTGTTTTCCAACAGTTTGGTTCACAAGCACAAGTGTTTGGCAAAATTTTGTTATAATTTGCAAACTTGGCGTCGGGTGGTGAACACAACGGCTGCCATCTTTCCCACAATGGTGGGATGAATTAAACTCGTGGACTGAGGTACCACTGTCCATGATTTTTTCCAGTGCTGGGGTTCAGTGCCAGGGTCTTGTGCGTGCTGGGCCAGTGCTCTCTCACTGAGCTACACCCTCCCTGTACTCCCCTGCATTTCTCCTACACACTGCTTCTCGTGTAGAGTGATGACATATAATAGTAGATATTGCAGTTACTATAGGTGCAAGCAAAGATCTTTTCTGTTTGTAAAAAGTGATTATAATCCCATTTATATAGAATGTCTAGGCACATCTACAGTAGAGAACATTTGGATTGTAAGAGCAATAAGCTAATTTCTATGTAAGGTCCAGGTATAGTTGGAGAAAAGCTTAAAAATATGTGTAAAGTTTTATTCATAGCAACCTAATTCTCGTGATAAGGTTCATAGTAAGCGTAAAGGTAATGAAGAGAAGTGCTAGTTACCCTTTTTGTCTCCGGCAGTACTGTACCAGCACTGAAGGCAGAATGGAGAGCTGTAACCCAGGAAGCGCACACTGTGTCCCCGGCCTTTTTACTTTCTGTGTTGAGACGGGGGCTCACTAAGCTGCCTAGGCTGGCCCTGCACTTGGACTCCCCCTGCCTCAGCTTCTCCAGTAGCCAGGGTTACAGGGATGCACTGAGCCCGGGCCCCTAGTTACCTTTTCTAAGAAACATTTACTGAGGACTTTCAGCGTGCTGGTCAGCTGTGGGTGTTTAAACACACAAACTCAGTGCTTAGGACAACGCTAGGAGGTCTGGATGTAGTTATTTCACAGCTGAAGGAACTGGGGTTACACACATGCCGAGGCCAGGAATAAACCCGGAAAGCCTGGCTCTAACAGTGCTGTCCCATGAAAATACAGCGGGAGTCCTGTTCATAATCCAAAGTTTTGCAGAAGCTGCCTTAGGAAAAGTGAAGCAGCTTAAATTATTTGATCCAATATAAAATACTACTGGTTCCAGATGTAATCAAACTAAAACATTATCAGAAATGTTTCAGCTTGTCTTTGGGGAGTCACACGTTCTCAGAGACGTGGTACGTGTTTGACTCTGAAGGCATGTCAGCTCCGTTCTCTGTGTGACATGTGGCACTGCACCCCGCGATGCCCTGGAGCCCGGCTTCATGGCCAGGGCTGTCCACTCACCTGGACCTCACTACCCAAAACCCCTCTCCTCTCCACAAAGTCTTAATTTTGCTACCTTTTAGTGCTCCAGGTATTTTAGGCAGATTCATGTTCTTTTATCATTGTTGTTAATTTTTATAAGCATGGTTTTCGAGTAAAAAACCAAAACCTTTCACTTTCAAGGTCTGATAACGATGTAGAGAGAAACTCGACAGTACTGGCATCTTTACAGACATTGTACAGGTTGAGCTTCCTTGATTTGAAATTTGAAATCCAGGCACTCCACAATTTGAAATGTGCTGAGAGCCTGCCACAAGTGGAAATTCCACGCCATGAAACTGCCTCATGCACAAAATTATTGAAATTATAAATAAGTTATCTTTAAGCTATGTGCGTGACTGCGAAACGTACAGGAACTTCATGTCCAGACTTGGGATCCATCTCCAAGGTGTATCATATATGTGCAAATATTCCAAAATCTGGAAAAAAACCCACCCCAGAATCCAAAATACTTCTGGTCTCAAGCATTTCAAATAAGGGATACTCAACCCATATTCACTTGTACTGAATTTTGAGGTATGCGTTCTGGTCTTTAAGAGCGTCCTTTCCAAAAACCAAAAAACCAGCATCTTCATTAAACCCACTCCTACAGGCCCGCGTGCTGGCACCCCAGGCAGTGGTACGCCTTACACGGGAGCGGTGTGGAGCTGAAGAGGCTCTTTAGTGAAACTGCAGGTACCTCAGAGCCTGGCTGGTGACCAGCAGGTGGGACTCCGTCATCCGGAAGATGTTGTGAATCGCTCGCGCAGCCAGGACTTGTCTCATCGCTTCGTATATCACTTCTGCAGTGCTGTCTGTCTTGACAGCCATGGACCCCAAAAAACGAACTATGAACATCTGTTGCAGAAGCGAATCTGCAAGACAGCAGGTGGTGCTCAGGGCCACATTCACAGCCCCGGCCGCTGGCTCCCCTGGCTCTCTGACATGGAGGGCGCCCGATCCAGGGACTCAGCCCAGCTTCAAGAGACTGGTAGTTGCCCAAGCTCCGACTCCTGCTGCCTGCCTGCCAGTGTGTGTGTGAACTGCTGCAGCCGGCACAGGCGCCTCTAGTTCCATATGAAATTAGCTGGCGAGGCCAGGTGAACGCCCGCCAGGTAAACCCCGGAAGAGCATTTCTTCCACACTGGGGAACTCAGCACTTTGGCCCACTGGTGAAGTCCTCTCACACGAAAGTTTGCTCGTGGCGAAAGACCCAATGCTGGGTCTCACTCCAGTCAGGCACTGCAGAGCAGTGATAGTTCCTAAGTAATGGAGAGCCTCTAAAGCAATGGGCTTTCGGGTGTGAGGCACTGCCAGTTTGGCTTCTTGATGACTAAATCTCACGGGACCAAATGACAGGAAGACATAACTGAGACCACGAAGAACATTTTATTAAAATGCAAAAACCACTTTTTTTCTGTAGCCACAATATTTACTCGTTGTTTTAAACTGTGGGGCCTCTCCTTTTCCTCTGTCCCTAAAAACAAGGGCCACTAGGATACTGATACAGTGTAATGAATAACTCACAGTTAACCCTTTTTTATGGACGTTTACAAGTTTGAAAAGTGTTTTCATGGACTGCTGACAGCCGTGGTGGACTGGGTTAAATAAAGGCAGGTCGAAACACCGTGCCAGATTTGAGGTGCAACTTATTCACTTCACTTTAAAAAGTAATAACTTTTGCCTAAAGCTTTTAAGGGATGCAAATTCTGGACTAACACTTTTAAATTTAAATAAGCAGAGTTTGTTCTAAGGACACCCTGGCTCCAGTCAGGGAGCTGAACATTTCTTACTAAACTGCTGGCTGGGAGCTCAGAAGATTATGGACAGCTCCACGGGTGTGTTCTTCAGTACATGTTAGGACTGTAAACCCAGGGCCAGGATGTAGCTCTGTGGTGCTGTGCCTGCCTGGCAAGCACAAGGTTTTGAGTTCTATCCCCGGTACCGCAAAAAAAAAAAAAAGACTGTAAAAAGCTAAACTTGAAAAACATAATATTTATCCTTCACCAAGTCTGCATTTTAATGTGATCATTTTATGCTCCTGGAATTTCTTTTGTAGGAATGGATGTCAGATCTGGATCTGACAGCTTCTCTAGGCAGGTGCTGGCTGCAGGTGAGGTGGGGCAGGGCGTCTCGAGCTCCTCAGTCTGCACCAGAGCTGCCCTGCCACACCTGTGTCATTCAACCTGCAGGGGACTGCAGATGGGGTCCTAATTTCAATTCCCATTCCAAGCTCTAGATCTTAGCACACGATGTCCCCTGTTACTTCAGTGGCCCTTGTCCTTGTGTGCAGGGGAAGGAGGAAGGGTACCAAGCTGGCCACTCACCTTCTACCTCTGGAAACGAGTCATCCTCACTCTCACCGAAAGGGTTGGTCCGCCTGGGGGAACAGCAGGAGGACTCTCAGCATGGCAGATCTCCGGTGGCGGCGAACCCACAAATCGACTTCCCTTTCTCGTGCACCCTCCCTGGACTGGGCCCCACCTGCTGCCTCTGTTCTGATCGAGGAATTCTGTAGCAGGAAGCATGATGTCAAACTGAATTGGCGTCCCGGGTGTGATCAGCTCTTCGGCTTCAGGAACCTCAGCTGCTGCCCTGGGGACAGTCTTGTCATTCTCTAGCTCCGGGTTCTTCAGGTTCTGGCTGGAGTGTAACATAGGAGGGGAAACATCACATTTAAATGTCGATGTGACTTTCACCCATGGAAATACGAGGCAGGCTTCAGAGAGCGTTGGTGTGTGTGTCCTCTGCTGAGCCTTGGCTGTCCCCACTGCTCCCTGCTTGGTGTTCGAGCTGTCAGCACCTGTCACGCCTCACGCCAGCCCGGTGACTCTCCCTGGGAGACAGGCTTTTACACGCAGGCCATGGCCAAGCCGCATTCATTACCTGACGGTAACGACTGGCAGTCTCCGGGCACTCAACAGCATTGTCCGGAAGAAGAAACATCCCGGCCTCGCGCTCATCAGAATCCAGCCCTGATCTCCCGAAATCCCCCTTTAACGCCCCCTCCACTGGGCTACACCTCCAGCCCAACTCTGCCGCTGCCAGCTGCAACACCCACTCGGCCCCTCCTCTGACGGCTGCGGCTTCCCAGTGGGTCAGACACCTGCGCCGTGTGCCCGGGACCTGAGCCCTCTCCCCGGCCGCTGAACGCAGCTGCGCGGGTGGCACCGTGACCGGCCAGGTCTGCCGGTGTCAGAGCTGCAGTTAACCTCGCACCTCTTGCACCTCTGCTCTCCGGCCAGCAGGGAAGCGCCTTCAAGGGCAAAGAATACTGCAGCACTTTGCTTCTCTCATTGTGTGGACGATACAGTGCCCTCGGTTATCTTTCTGTGCATCGGGTATTTTACGTCAATCCACTCATGTTTCTCAAACAGGTCAGTAACAACGTACTGCCTGAGACAGCTATGTGACAGGGTCCCCAAACGGGGCACAGAAGCAGGGTGTGCAGGCTTGGAGGCCGGCTCTGCAAGGAGAACACTTGGGCAAGCCGCAGTTTAAGCTCCCCGTAAGAGAGGGAAGCTGGCCGCTGGGGGCCTCCGTGAGCCACCTGGATGGATGGAGGAGGTGGCCGCAGCCTCACTGCTGTGGCCTCACTACAGACCCGCTGTCCTACAGACGGCTGGGATGGAAGCTCGGAGGGAGGACGACAGCAGAGGGGCGACCCAGTCGAGGCGGTGCGGGCCGGCCTGCTGAAGACCCTACTCCCGACTCGGGCAGGGGCTGAGCTCGCCCTTCGTCTAGGGAGCCGCTGAGTGCTCTGAACGGAGAGACATGAGGCTGGTCACCTGCGACTCACGTCCCGGCCCCGGCAACCCTGCTGTCACCGCCCAGGGGCCATTCTCGGCTCTTCCCTGGGTTTCCACTGGCGCCAGGTGCGCAGGTGTTGCTCCTACCCCTGCCGGCCTCTGCTCCAGATGCTGGGGCCCCTCAGGAGCCCAGCCCGGCCCGTCCTCAGCCTGCTGCACTCCCGGCTCATCCACTGCCCAGGCGCTGGCCCTGTGCACGGGGCCTGCATGTCAGCCGGGGTGGTTCACAGGCCTCAGCCCCTGCACCTGGTGTTCTGGCTGAGCCGGATGGCTGCCCTTCCCTCGCACCTCACAGTCCCGGTCCTAAGGCCCCTGGCCCCTCTAGGCTGAATCCAGATCCAGACTTCTCCTCTGCCCTCGCCCAGCCCGAGGTGCTCTAGACGTGGGGGTCGCCTCTCCCTGCGCCCCACGGCCCCTGCCCCTGAGCGTGGCCTGGCCCGGCCCTGCTGGTTGTCGCACACAGCTGCTGAGCTCTTTCACGCCCTGTCAGGCTTGCGCCACCTCTGGTCACTGCGGCAAAGGTGACCCCAGCCAGGTCCGGCCCGGGCTCCTCTGTTCCCCACGCCAGCACCCTGGCCACTGGCTCACAGTGCCTCTCCTGTCATACCCGAGGACGAGTTTCCCTTTCGCCTGCCTTCCCACGGGAGGGTTCATCCTTAGCCCAGGTTGGCAGCACAGTGACCGCTGGACACGGCCGAGCAGCGGACACGCGAAGGCCAGTGTAGGCAGAGGAAGAGGCGCAGACTTGCTGCCAGTGAGGACAGTTGGTTCTCAGCAGGCCCCCGGGGCCGGCCCTAAGGCAGTCTCCTCCTGGCGGCCACATCCATCCCCTTCTCAGGTGCTGGGCGCCACCCCCGCCCGATGCTTTCTGTCCCTCTATGAAGTCCATCCTGCCTAAGAACGCGATTTATTCTAGAAAGGGAGAAAAGTCCGTTTCTGGCCAAATCTCAGTGGCAAGTTAGGGCTTTTTAGGAGACCAGCTGCGTCTTCTGCTGCACGGCCCACCCTCGGCCCCTTGAGAGGCCGCCTCAGAGCTGAGGGGCTTGGAGGCCGCCCTGAGGAGAGGGCGCCAAGCGTCCGCCTCAGTCTCGGGGTCTCTACATCTTACAGGTGGGACACGGCCACCCCGCCGTGGGTCTGGATTTCCGCTTCCCGTCTGGGTGCTTTTTCAGCCACCACTGTGCATGCTGTGACTTGACTGCACTCAGCTGTCCTGGCCTCGATGCCGTGTGGTTTTTATCACCAGGTTCTCGTGCTCGGTCTCACAACCAGGCCCAGGCGACCTTCTGCCGAGTCCTCCTGCTGCTGTGCCCCCACTGGCCCTCAGTTTACGCTGTGTCATCCACGACCGTCTTCCTGGGCCAGGTGATGGCTGTCACTCCTCTGAAGCTCTAACCCTGAGCAGGGCGCCAGGCTCTCAGCCAGAGCCCAGCCTGTCTTCTGGCCTCCTCGGGGGCCCAGGGTGGGGCATCACCCTGGGAGCTATGTGACCCCGAGATCCCGGCGACGCCTGCCAGTCACGAGGTGGCAGGGGACCCTCCTCCCGTGCTGCTGAACATGGACACCAAATGGTGCCATAATGCCAGCGGCCTATGATGCCATGATTTCACTGGCGTGAAAACTAACACGCCCTCTGCCACCTCCTCAGCCTCGGGCAGACTCCCTGGGCTGACTCTCCTGGGACTCCGAGACAAACCTGGAAGCAGGGCTGGAACAGCGAGGCGGCTGTTTGCATGGAAACGCCCCCTGCTAATGAAGTGGGCGAGGGGGAGCTGACCTAAATACTCAACACTGACAGGAAGTGATGGAATCGTGGAGTTATTCTAAGAAACAACTATGAACAATGCAGAAATACAGTGGACCCTTGACTTTACGAACTCAATTCATTCCTGAGGGCTGGTTGTAACTCAAGTTGGTCAATGAAGGCTCAGGCTCCTCTACACAGCCTTCAAAGTCTCTCTCCTGTGCAGAGGCAGATCTCAGTGTCCTCAGGGAGACACTGGCCCAGGATTTCTCAGCCCCACACAGGAGAGGATGCTGTCATGTTCCTTCCAGAACTCTTTAAGGGTTAAATTTGTGTCTGAGACCATCTAGAAGCACAAGCAGCCAGCATTCGGTTCGTAACTCCAGACTTTGGTCATAAGTTAAAACTAAAATTCTGGGCATAACCCAAACTGTTTGTATGTCAGTCTGGCTATAACTCGAGGGTCCATTGTATTTAAAGTGTATATGTAAAAATAAAAGTAAATGCACATGAAAATATCAGCACTTTGCAGAGCACGCCTGGGCAGTAACATGGACACATAAAAGATGATTTTCTTATTAAAAAAAAAAAAACACCAAAATTCTTTTACAGGTGTGGCAGTGGATGCTTGTTATCCCAACACTTAAAGAGGCTGAGGCAGGAGAATCACCTGGGCATTCGAGCTGGGGAATGGAGCTCAGTGGCAGAGTGCCCCTGGGTTCCATCCCAGAGTACACATTTTTTGTTTACGGTGCTCTGCCAATGCTCACAAAAAATGTGGGGAGAGCTCCTGCCTGGGGGGACCCTGGACTCATGTCTCACTGGCTCTGATGCAGGAGTGGCCTGAGGGAAAGGCCAGGGACGCCGGAATCAGGCAGGCTTGAATCCTGGTCCCGCCACTTAGCTGTGGTGTGGACCCTGCATGAAACATTCGCCTCTCCTGGCCCACGTGGCCTCTGCTGGGAGCTAGACAGCCTCGGCGGGGCCGGAGGGGCCGGTGACAACGCCCGTGGTCAAGGCCCTGACAGACCCCAAGGCTGGTTCCCTCTGCCCTCCGCTTACCTGGGGCTGGAGCTTTCCTGCTTCTTCCCCAGACTCGTGATGGGAGTCACCGCCTGCAGAGCCGTCTGGTTCAGCCTGATGGCCACGGCCTGGAAGCCAGGGGACACTGCTCAGTGGGTGGGGACGGGCAGGGCACGGGGAGAGGGGGGCACGGCCGCTCCTTACCTCTGGGTCCTCCGTCAGGTAGATCTGCCTGGAGATGTTGTTGATGGCGCAGATCCACTGTGGGGGAAGAGAAGCCCTGAGCCCTGCATCACCGCTGCCCGGGAGGAAGGCGAGACAGCAGGCAGGGCACTAGTTACCTCCTCATTCTCCTTCCTGCTCTCGGCCTGGAGGATTATTCCCCTGGAACAAAGCAAGTCCAAGTCAGGGCCGCAGCTCTCAGACTGGGCGTACTCAGCACCAGCTGACAGCGCGGGTCCTAGAAGATGCTCAGCGCCTTCCCACGTAAGCGAGAAGGCTGCTGAGCCCAAGTCTGACTCCAAGTGGGGAACACATCCTGTCGCCCCGCCGGCTCCACCCACATCCGGGCACCAGCCTGTTTCTAAGCACTGCGAAGTCTGTAAGTGGAGGCCTAGGCCCGGGTGGGTGACAGCAGCATCCCCCCAGCCTCTGCTCCGTCCTTTGGTCCTCTCATTGGTGGCACGTGGGCAACAGACCTCATCCCTGTTTTGTACGTGAGGGGCTGGGACCAGAGCTGGAACTGCACAGGGCCGCAACTAGGACCCGAGGAGGAGGGGCGCGCTGACAGCCTGGGGAGGAGATGCCCCACCGTCTGTGCCCCGAGACAGCAGGCCGGCCCTCCTCCGAAGGCGCAAACAGACCTCACCAGGCGTGGCCCCGCAGGAGCCCGAGATCCAAAGGTCACCGTCCCTAAAGGCCCCCAAGCCCACAGTGGCCCGTGGCTGGGGGCAACCCGGAGGCTTACGATTTCCCGTTGGGGGCCGTGATCTGGAAGCAGTAGCGCCGGTCCTCGCAGTCCACCGCCATCACCGAGCAGTTGTCCAGGTCCTGGATGAGCCCCCCAGCCACGGCGCCCCGGGGCTGGCACAGGAGGTTCCCGCCTTGGGTGAAGAAGTAGAGCCGCTCCCAGCTGGTGCTCACCAGCCCCGTTTTGCTGTGGGAATGGAGTGCAAGAGCCATCAGCACCAGGAAGCGCGGGCCTCTGTGCCCACCACGGGCTGCATGCTGAGAGCCAGGGGCCTGAATGATCCAGACGCTGTGGGCACTGCCCCCGGGCAGTGCCCGCCCCAGGCCCAATATCGGGCACGTGAGCAGGACAGCCCTGCGGCACCTCAGCCCACAGACAGCCCAGGCGCCCCCTGTCCCGGGGCCCCCACCAGCCTGGACTGTGGTCTTCTGGGAGATCATTCTGCCTAGGGGAGGAAAAGGGAGGCCCTGGGCAAGGAACACAGGACTTGCGGAGTTTTTATCCATACAGAACTAAGGGGACACTTGGCTCATGATATCCAAGGTCCACGGGCACGGCTCTGCCTGCAGGAAAGAGCTGCAGATCCTCTGCAGATGTCCCCCGCAGGGGACAGCAGACACAGCCACGCAACTCTGCACCGCCCAGGAGGAGCTGTGTGTAGGGTGCTGGGGGTCCTCACTGCCCAGGGAATTCCTAAAGATGGCAACAGCTGAGACTGGAAAGCTTCCGCCCTGCCAAGATGACCGAGTTCACTCCTGTGACAACACTGTCTGAGGCAGGGGTGGCTGCTGGAGTGAGGGATCTGGGCTCGGCCTGGCCAGAGAGCCTGACGACCCCACACACCCTGGTGTCATGTGTCTGCTCCGCCCTTCAGTGTTCAATGCCCGATGCCACCTGCATGGACCACAGGCTGCCCAGCCTCGTGTGCCCACCCAGAGCTCTGTCCAGCTGGCTAGGCCCTGGCCTGGGACAGTAACTCAAAGGACCCAGACGACAGCAACTGAGAGCCGTCCATTTACAAATGGCCTCAGCGGTGAGAGAGGGGAGCGTCCTGAGCCCTGGGGCCGGGTTCTGGCTCACAGCTGTTTCCTGCCCTGTCTCTCCCTGCACCCAGTCAGGTGCCTCCTGTGGCTGGGTGGGGGTGCTGGGGTTCCAGTTGTCCTCACCCAGCATCCCCGCCCACCCTTGGGCGGACGGGCACATCCTGGGAACAGGGCGTGAAGAGGCAGGCACTGCACTCACTTTCTCAGATTAAGGTACCCGGCCTTCTGGATGAGGTTCCGGTTGATCTCGGGGGCGGCCACATCGAAGTCTGGGGTGTACACAGACTCATCCACAGACAGCAGCTCCTGCTGCGACACCCGCATCTTCTCCGCTTCGGCCTCCAGCTCCACCTGGATGCTTCCGACAGAAGGTGACAGGTCTGTCACTGGTCCTGGGCCAACTCCGCACCGCTAGGAAGCAGGTGGCAGGGCCCTCATCACGCCGAAGCTGCCTGCCTTGCAGACAGAGCCGTCAGCTCTGCGCCGGCTAACTCACAGGCTCCAGCTGTGCCATCCCCCACTGCCCAGGTTGGGGTGCCCAGCTGTAACCCCAGCACTTGGGAGGCCGAGGCACGAGAACATTTGAGGCCAGCGTGGGCTACACAGTGAGTTCAAGCCCAGCCTGAAGACACGAGACCTTGTCTCAAAAAAAAAACACGAACAAAAGAATGAATCCCGCCATGGCGTGCCCGAACCCAGGTCACCTTCAGGCTGGCAGGAGGGTCCATGTGCAGTGCCAGAGCTCCAGGGTTCAGGAGAAGCCTGGTGAGCCCAGCCCAGGAGGGCAGGGGCAGGACAGAGTGGGCACAAAGTGGCACCAAGGCACAGCAAGGGAGCCAAGGGCAGTGCTTTACATCGATGCTGACCACGAGGCACCCGCTGGCCAGGGCCACCCACAGGGTAACCGATGCCCTCGGTGCTGAGCTGTGCCCTGGCGTCTGTGTGCGCATGCGCCAAGGCCGGGAACGCGGAAGTTGGAGCTTCTGCCCTTCCGCCCACAGCGAGGCCCTGCCAGGCTCGGGCCCAGCCTGGCCAAGGTAGGTTATCACGTCCCGGGCATGGCCCACCTGTGAGAGCAGGCACACTGGGGAGGCCACGTTCCTCCTCCACTGTGCTGGGAGGACCAGGGTCGTGACATTAAGATCAGAAGCCAGCAAACCCAGTGTTTCTGCATGAGCCTCAGGACTGTCCATCCATCCATCCATTCATTCATTCATTCATTTGACACAGGGTCTCCCCGAATAGTTCAGGCTGGCCTTGAACTCACGATGTGACCCAGGCTGGCCTCAAACAGCGATCCTCCTGTCTCAGCCCCTGAGTGCTGGGATCACAGGTGTGTGCCACCACTTCAGGTGAGGACCATACCCTGAGATTCGGGTTCAGCAAGGAGGGCAGCAGGCACACAGGGCTGCACCGAGGGCCACGTTACCTTTGAACCATGTCTGTTGCAGAGGAGAGGAAGCTGTCCATGCTCCTGGAAAACATCTCTGCGCCCTTCTTAAAAAAGTGAATCTGAAAAGCAATGGCGAAACCCTAAAAGCATCCTGGGAAGGGGACCACTGGGGTCCCTAAAGGTGGCCCGTGTGGTGTGTGTCCTTGTTGCTAGCAGCTCTCTACAGAGCCTGCACACACGGGGTGACCAAGTCCCAGGTCCAAGGGGACACCGCCGTCCTGCTGAAAGGGGAAGGGCTGAGGCGAGGCAGCCTGAGACCGGGCCTGGGGCTGCAGCCACCCGGGAAATGACCAGCAGCAGTGACTTCCTGTCTCTAGCACCAGGCAGGTGTGTGGCACATCACACATTCTCCCACCCAGCAAGGGACGCCCTGCCCTGATGGCCATCACGTGACCACACACTCTGGAGCTGTGCACAGCAGTGAACTGAGGAGGGTGTGGATGGGGACTCGGCTGGGCGCTCCCTGCACAGGGAACTGGGCCAAAGGCCTTCAAAGGCCTCTCTGCATGGTGACACAGTGCGAAGGGATCATGTGCAGAGGGCAGCGGCCTCCAGGACTTGGGGACCATGCGGTTTGAAACTGGACCTGTAGCTGCTGACTCTGGTACCGAGGGAAGGGACCCTGCCTCCCTCCCTCGCCTCCTGTAAGACTCCCCCTTCCCAGAAGCCTGGGGGCCCAGCACAGCCTGCCTGATAGCACACAGGAAGAGGGGACAAGAACACTTCCGGTACCACTGACGTCCTCGGCCAAACTCTGAGAAGCTCAGCTTCCCACTCTTCTCTGGCCACAGCCTCAGAAAGCCTGGACACGATGTTGGCACTGCTGTGCGTGACAAGCCTGCCAATGGGTGGGAGGTCACCGAGACAGACAGCAAACTCAGCGGACACTCATGCTGCTGCACCCTGCCTGGATCCGGAAGTGCACCTTGCTCCGGGTGGGGGCGCAGATATGGGGCTCACCCCGAGGCCAGAGGCACAGTCAGCAGGGCTGGCTTCCTCCTCCCGACACCTCGGGAAGGCGTGGATGCCAGGGTCCTCAGTTACACGGCAAAAGCAGCCGATGGCCATGCAGGGCGAGTCCTGGCCCGTGACCTCTGAATCATACAGAGATCACCGCTGCCCTGCACTGCCAAATGTCAGTGATGCTCATCACTTCAGTGAGCGTCCCAGGCTGTCTCCCTCCCCGGACCCTCTTCTCTAGAGTTTGTCCTGCATGGGTCTGGGCTTCTGCTCCTCAGGGCAGGGGCTCGCCTGACCCCTAGGGAAATCTGATGAAAGGAAGGAAAGGCACGGGCCTCTGCACCTCATCACCTGGCGCTGACCTACTCCAAGCGACACTGGAGTTCACTCTCTGTGCTCCAAGCCCAGACACAAACTACCCGGCCTCAGCTTGTGGGTGTCAAGACTGAGTCAGGTGCAGCTGAAAACCTGTCTAACGAGGGCCACAGAGGGCGGGGCTGGGTCAGCACCCCTCCCTGGGGTGGGTGGTGCCGAGCACCCTGAGTCAGTCTCTGCCCAGCCAGAAAGGTGGGGGCCTAGTACACCTCGACCTCTAAGGGCCAGGAGGAGGGGAGCAAACACTCCGCCCCCTCCACAAGACTCCGTGTTTGGCAACCCTCTCTAAGAAATGGACTGCAGTTTTCAGCAGGATTTAAATACTCCACAGGGGAAGGGACTAACTGGTCCTGTGTCTTGAAATCCTGACACTTTTTACAGGAAAAACAGAATGCACCATCCTCAGTCCTCCAAGCGGATGTGCCTGCCACCCAGCAAGGACAGTGCCTCATGGGTCCCGAGCGAGGTCTGCTCTTCTCTCCCTGTGGCCAGCCAGCAGCACTGGCTTGGAAAGACTGGGCTGGGACAAGTGGCATAGTCCTTGGCAGCAAGATGGAGCCGGCTGGCCACCAGCCTGTCCCCTGGGCCTGTGAGGTCCCTCCTCCCAGCAGCCACTCTGGGCACCGACTGCTCACCCTGCAGCCTTTTGGCTTCTGGGACAGTAAATCCTGCTCCCTCCCTGGCCTGGCCAAGAGGCAGGGACTGTCGACCCAGGGACGGCACCCACGACAGGAGGAATTAACAAACACAGCACTGTTCTGTAGCAAAGCCAGGTGCCCTCCAGGTCGGGGTGCAAGCCAGTAGCAAAGAAGAACGGGCACCAGTGCAGTGCCGGTCCCAGGTGCCCACCTCAAGGATGCTCATGGCTCCCGAGGGTTCAGTCCAGTTTCATTCAGGTGACTCAGAAGAGTCACATGGCTCTGTTTAAATGTCCCCTCCGGGGCACAAGCTGACGTCAGCCAGCGCCCCACAAACCATGCAGCTCCCATATCCAGAGAGCTGGGTGCAGATGCTTGAAGACCCGCTCTGTGCCCCTTTTCCCTGGTGGAAGTGATGTGTTTCTTTTGACATATTTTACTAATATGTTATAAAAGTAAAATGTTTGTATGTCAGCTATAAAAAGTGGCAATTTCATTTTTATCAACACTTTACTTCCTCACATCCCCTTCCGTTCCTAGATCGCCCAGTGAGAGAAGGCTCCGGGCTGTTTCTCATGTGCCAAGTGCAACTTTGAAGTCAGCAATACGGGGCAAAAACAGGGGAGGGTGGGGCCACCAGCCTGACAGCCCCAGCTAGCCCCGGCCACCTCCCTGTGCCCTCACAGTGGGGCCTCCCTGACTCGCTCCTTAGGCCGCCAAGTCGGCAGGAGGAAGCCGAGATTCTCTGCTCTCTCAACGGCACTGGTGACACTGTCCAGGGCAGCAGAGGTGAGACACTGGCCCTAACTCAGGGATGCAGGGTGGATGGCGACTCCTGAGGGTGGCCCTGACCACACACCCAGAGTACACAGTGCCACACAGCCCGGGGTCCATGCCGCTCTCCCAGCCTGAGCCCCCACCTGCTTCTGGAGCACTGGACCAGACCTGGCTTTCATGTGGCTCAGAGACGAAGGATCACACGGGTTCCTCCCAAGGAAGCCTGGGATGCAACCATTGCTTCTTGAGCACACGACCTTACACGGCCAGCTAGAAGGCGTGGCCGAGATACCCTGGCCGAGACAGTCCAGCCAAGGTGGCGCAGCCTGGCTGGACGCTCCCCAGAGTGCTGAGCCCCAGGAAGCATCTGCTTTGCTCAGCTCCTCCCAGGGGCCGACACATTCCCTCCCTACCTGCTCACGGGCGAAGCCTATCATGGGCTCCATCATGGCCATCTGCTTCCGGTACTGCAGCGCGTTGAGGGCACAGTAGTACTGCAGGGACGACAGGTGCTGCTTCTGCCGCGCAGCTGCCACCTCCTTCCTGACCTCGGCCTTCACCTGATTCAGAGTGAGGGAAAACTTCAGGCTGTGTGCTGTGTGACCGTTCCGTAGCAGCACGTGACCTGACACACTTGGATAGCCGTTAGGGCCAGTTTTGTAAGAAACACAGTAACACTTGATAAGGTTCCATCTCAACATTAAAGAAGGTCCCAACCAAAAATCCAAGCTCCCAGAGCAACAGCAGCTCCGAGCCCGTGAGGCCGAACCGAGGGGAAGCCAACAGCTTCCTGGTGGCAGTAATAGCACAGCACTGCTCCAGGAGAGCCCCGGGCAGCCGCTGAGAGCCAAACACGGGGTTCACTGGCAAGACTGCAGGGTGGGGGAATGGTTAGGTTCAGGGAAACCTCGGGACAGAAGTAACAGTTCTCTGCACGAAGACACTCACTCTCCTCTATCTCGGCCAAACAGCCGGAAATCAGGGGCTGAAGAATCAGAGCAGACCCAGAGCCGAGCACCAGGCGGCTGCTAAGGTCCCTGTGGGACTGTCATTTCACGGGGTTCCCGAGCTGCATTCAATAAATCAGGCTGGAAGTCAGGATAGAGAAGCGAAGGCCTCCTGAGAGCCAGAATAATTCTGAGAGGATTTAGAGGAAAAAGAAAGCAAGGCGAGACACTGAAGCCGAGCGCTCTCGGCTGGCAGCCCCGAAGGGAGGGTTATGCTCACCTTTTCGTTCTCCTTCTTTTTAGGGAGCCGGCTGTACTTTGCCATGGCAAGGTCATGATCTGAAAAGAAAAGGAGGAGGCAGGGTCCGAGAGGTGGAAAGCGAGGACTTTCACTCAGCACCACCTCCCACCCCTGCGGCAAGGAGGTGCGGCCTACCGTCGCTGGCCAGTCCAAAGAGATCCTTCAGAGTGCTGACTTCTGCACAGGGGAAGAGGGAACAGCTTAGAGCAAGGAAAAAGAAACCAGTCAGCCCAGAGGCGCTCTGCTTTCCCAGACAGTGAGCGTCCACTCGGCCCAGCCCTGGCCCCTCCAGTCTCTCTGCCAGGCCTGGCCGGCAGCTGGCCCCTGCTCTCCCCTCAGGCCCGGTGCCCTGCTGCCCTGGGAGGAGCTCACATCTGGGGACGCAGGCAGAACGGTGATGGGGTTTGTCACGCAGACCTGGAGGGTAAACTTCAGCTCTGGTCCTTGGCCCCTAGTGAAGGATCTTAATCCTTCTGTACTCAGCATGGAGTCAGGACCGGAACCCAGAAGGACCGGAACACCACGGTGCTGTGCTAATGACAAACTGTGACACACCCAGCACACTCCACTTGCAACAAGCCAGATCCCACACACATCACCCAATGGTGCGATACCCGTCCTGCATAAAGATGGCTCAATAAGCCAAAGACAACAAGGTCACTGACAGCAATAAATGACCAAGATTAAAAATGTGAAAACAGGCCGGGCACGGTGGCACACGCCTATAATCCCAGCTACTCGGGAGACTGAGGCAGGAGAATCACTTCCAGTTCAAAGCTAGCCTGGGCTGCACAGCAAGACCGTGTCTTAAAAGAAAAAAGAAGAATCACCATGTGGGGAGCGAATGATGTGTCGGTCATGCTGGCCTGAAGACAGCCCCTGTCACTATGTGCCCCCGATGCCAGCCGTGTCCCTTCAGCCAGGCCTCAGACTCACCCTGGCCCTGCCTGCAGGAGTGGGGCTGGGCGACTTCTTCCTAGCAGACATGGGGTTTGCTTGGAGACGACCCAGCGCACTCCCAGACTGCGTGTGGAGGGGCTCTTTCTCAGGAGCGCGGGGTCAGACTCCAGGTGGGACTGGGCAGGCGGTCACAAAGCCTGCGCTCCAGGGGTCTGGACTCAATCACCAGCAAGTGAGCTGCAGGGAAAAGCCCGCCTCCTGCTCCTCGAAGGCTCTGCACACCAGCCCAGGGGAGGAGATGGCAGGACTCAGCATCTTACAGAATAAACCAGGGCCGCCAAACCGGCCCAGGAGGGCTTCTGCCCATGGCCCATGCCCGGCACGGGGCTTCATCTTCAACAGGAGCCGCCAAGGCACCTGCCGCTTTTCTGCCTAGAAGCCCAGTACTGAACAGATCTGGGACTCAGGTGAAGGCTTTTTCCAGTCAGCAATTTGTTTTTCTCTGAGAGGTCTTCAAATACAGGGTTGTTTGTTTTGGGGGGGTTGTTTTTGAGACAGGGTCTCACTATGTAGTTCAAGCTGTCCTTGAACTCACTCTGTAGCTCAGGTTGGCCTCAAACTTGTGGTGATCCTCCTGCCTCAGCCTTCTGAATGCTGGGATTACAGGGGTGTGGTACTACGTCTGGCTTCAAACACAGTTCTTTATCTCTCAGTAATAAACACTGTCCAGGAAATAAAAAAGAACTGTAGGTCTAGGAGGTCTGGATTCCCTTTCCTAGTATTTTTCCAAGCCTATTAGTTCTTTTTTATATTCATTCTTTGACTACTTTCCCTTCCAAGAGATAAAATTGCTCTGACGTTTTACTCCAGCTGAGGAACTGAAAGTCTGCACGGGCTAGCCAGGCTCTTGGACGCAGTCGCAGACACCCGAGTCACCAGGGCAGGGGGGCACCTGGACGCTCGGCCACACGGAGCACCATCCAGGACCAGCCTCTCACCATGTGGGGTGGGGGCAAAAACACATTGAGCGTTTACATCTTCAAATGTTATTACAGTAAAAGGCAGGCTTGTGGATCCCCTCCAAATCTCCCTCCCTTCACACAACTCATCCCGTCGTCCTTGCCACTTCCTGCAGCAGCTCCGGAGTCCTCTCTCCTGCACTGTCCCGGCTGCCTCAGTGTCCGAAGTAGATTCAAAATGTCCCCCTTTCCTGGTCATTTTGGCTCTGGGGAAGACCCAGGAGTCACGCGGTGCCAGGTCGGTGAGTCAGGTGGAGGAGAGAGGACAATCAGGAAGTTTTTACTCGACAGAAACTGCCAGCTGCTGCGACAGTGGCAGGAGGATGGGGTGAGTTGCTAGAGGCGAGGGGAGCACTGAGGGCGATCGATGGCCCCGTGTCCTTTACTGCATGACATCTTTCCATTCAGACACTCCCTGTTTTATCACATCTCGTACTTTCCAAAGCACTCACTGTTCCCAGGACAGAGGCCTTACCAGCACCTGAAACACGCCCGGTCACTGTGTGCCTGTGTGCTCGGCTGGTGCTTACACCACAAATGCCAGGAAGCCTTCCTAGCCCCGCCCAAAGGCCACCGTCGCCCCTCAGGACACCACAGAGTGCGCAGTCACACCCTGCCGGGAAGCCAGCGCCCAGTTCTCGTACCCGTGAGGTCCTTCTCCCGGAACTGGATGATGGGCAGGACCATGGTGTCGGCCAGCTGCTTGGCCAGCTCCGTGTGGAGAGCGTTAAGCTGGAAGAGAAAGAACTCTCCTGAGGTCAGGGGCTCGAGTCCCTGAGGGCCACACCACACTCGCTGAGGCTAACAGCTCCACCAGGCTTCCTTAGCAAAGAGAAACCTTCATAAGGAAGCACAGGACACAGGTCAGGAGGTGCCCAAGGTGAGACGCAGGCTGGGTGCGGGAACACACGCCTGTCGTCCCAGCACTCGGAGGCTGAGGCAGGAGGGTCGGAAGTTTCAGCTGAACCTGGGCAACGCGACAACTTAGCAAGACCCCATCTCTCAATTTAAAAAAACGTTGGAAATGTAGCTCACTGTGAAAGTCTTGGGTTCCATCCACAGTACCGAACCAAAAAAGAAAACAGAAAAGAAACGTCGGTTCCAACTGGCGGGGCCGGGTGACGCTTGCTCTTGCTCACGGTGTCTCCGAACCCCTTGCTGTGCGAGCCAAACCGGCTCTGTATTCTCAGGGGCCACACCCGCCCGGGAGCCGCTGCGTTTGCTGGCACCGTTTGCTGGCACCGCCGGGCCCTCAGGCTGCCGCCGCTGTCTCAGGAGGGGCCAAGGCACAGGGCAGTGCTGGCCGTGGGTCTCGGGCTCGCGGTGCCCGATGACTGCGAAGGGCAGGGGCCGTGTGGGGCGTCAGCCGTCTCATCGGTGGCTTCTCGCTTCTCCTGCTTTCTCCCGTCCACCTCCCGGGCTGACTGCAAGGGCTTCAGAGCAGGAGGCACCGTCGCCGGGTGCTACTGCAGGGCACTTCCTGTGCCGCCCTGCAAGCCAGGCGGCTCCCTCGTCCCCTCCACGTGCGGCGCGGACTCCGAGCTCCACGGCACAGCTGGGCTCTGCCCCGGGTGCTGGGGCTCAAGTCTGCGCCCTCCACACACGGCCTGGACATGGCGTCGTCCCGGGTCTTTGGGCCCCGGGGGCCTGGGTGTCAGTGGGACGTGGAGGGAGGCGACGTGTCCGGGACTTCGCTGCAGCCAAGGGGCCGTCACCCTCTGTCATGCAGCGGCTGGGCTCAATTCGCACCGCACGTGCCCGCCGGGTGTGGCCCTCCGGGGCTGCTCTGAGCCCCCAGACCCGCTGTGCTCAACTTGCGCCAATCCAGGGAGCACCCGACGGCATCGCCGCCCCCCTAAACGCCGGGGCCGTCCGTGGGGGCCCCCGAACGAAGCCAGGCCGGCCACCCCCTCCACCAGGACGGATGGATGCGGCAGCGGCGTCCGAAGCTCCCGACTGGGTGCCGTGCGCTCGGTGCCAAGTTTTCCTGGCGGTGCCACTGCTCACAGGTGACAACGCCAGCACGCAGGAGACCCGGCGGCTTTCCAGGGCCTCGAGCTTCCGCCAGCCGGAGCAAACCGCCCCGGCCACTTCCTTCCCGATCACCCCTCTAGGATCCAGGGCTGTGTCGCCGGGGGGCCTCGCTGTGGGGCTTCCGAGACGCTGCCAGGACAGAGGCTTCTCAGCACGGAGCACGGAGCACGGAGCACGGAGCCTCTGCTCGGGAGGGCAGGGCAGGGAGCCACCCCGCCTCGGCGCTGCGGGGCCCCTCGCGGCCTCTTCTCTGCGCGGCTTCTGAACGCAGGGCGGCTGACAGGGAGAGAAGCCCGGAGCGGAGCGGGGCGGGCACATCTGGGAACCCGGGCCGCGCACCCAGGTCTGCTCCAGGATGTGACCCCCAGCCACTGCTTTTGGGGAGCTGAGCCCCACAGAGTCCCCGGGACTCACGAGGACCATCTCTTCCGTTAATCACGAGCCACGTCCGTCTCTACTTGCGTTGCTTTACTCTTTAATGCCGGAGGTGAAGTATTTGTCTTGGAGGTTTTCGACCTGATCCAGGGCTGGGGAGAGGAAAGCACCTCCAGGGTCCTCTCCTCCTCCTAGGCCTAGGCCTGGGCAGCGGGCCGGACCGAGCCCCTCTCATTGCAGTCTGTGGCAGTCGCAAAGGGCCGGCGTCAGCCCCACCAGCAGTCATGGCCGCCCAGAGCCTGGTCGTCAGCGTAGACCTTCGAGGGCGTCTCAGTGACGGGGCTCTGCCGAGCGCGGCCTCCCTCAGCTCACCGCTGATGAGAAACTGTGCGTGCACGTCCTGCTCGTCTTTCTCCCAGGTCAGCACACACGTCCCAGAGCCCCAGGAGGGCTGTGCCACTGTGGCACCGTGGAAAATTTGTGCTAGGTCTCCCACTGGCTCCGGGCCAGGACCCATACGCCCTGTCCTCTCCCAGCAGCCGGGGTGCAGGGGCATCTCTTGCCCTGACACTTGGCCTTTGAGGCTGGTTCCTGGCACAGAGCTCGAGATAGCTCAGGCCCTCCCGGGGATAGGAGTGTCCCCTGTCCTAGTGAGGCAGCCCTGGGGCTCCAGGACGGCACCAGTCACCGGCATTCTCCACCTATCCAGCTCTGAGAATCTGAGGGTCTGAAGAGCTCCGATCCCCCCCAGGGAGTCCGAGGTTCGGAGCCCTGGCCTCGAAGCTGGGGCCTGAAGCTGGGCAGTCTCAGGGGACTGAACCCTGAGCCTTGGATCTCAGGTTGCACTGTAGGCAGTGTCAGAATGGGGTCACACTGGTGACCAGCGTGGCGGTGGAAACACTTGGTCGTCTTCCTACTATTCAGTGGGACAGAAGACAAAGCTCAGTAAAGACAGGGAGGGCAACTTATTTGTCCTTCTAGCTCCACACCTGGAGTCTGCTTAGTAACAGGTGGCCAGATGTTTGTTGAATGAACAGTGGCTTGCTGAACTTATTTGCTGAATGAATGAAAACACAGTCAGTATGGCTTTATATGAATGCTAGCGCCCCATTTTGTAAACTAAGTGGGACAGTGGTGTGGCGCCTGCATTTTCTCTTCTGCTTCTCTATCATGAGTTTCTACTCTGAGTACATACTGCAGACTCCTTGGAAATGGAACACTTTTACCTACTGAATTCTTCGTGTTTTGCCAGGCGCTGGTAGTATTTGAGCTCTCATGATTTTTATAATCAGGAAGTACACACGCTTCCTGTAACAATCATGGCTTTTCAAATATCCCACATGTATCCCACGATGCAGCTACAAGAAACACTGTACCAAGCCCTGATAGTGGGTGGGACAGTGGACCCCAAGAGTGTGCCCCCCGAGACACCTGGCTAATTGGGAGCCGGGTCTTGGCAGATGTAAAGAAGGGCCGTGAATGAGGTCGCCCTGAATTTTTGACTGGGCCCTAAATCCACGTCACGAGCCCTTACAGAGGAGAAGATACAGACAGGGTAAGAAAAACGCAGGGCAGGGGTGTCCGTGAGGTAGAGTCAGACGCCCGGGTGCCACCACCACTGCCCGGGCACTGTGGAGCCACCAAAAGCGGTCGAGGCCTGGAGCGTTTGGGGCGTGAGCCCACAGACCTCGCCTCCAGCACGGGGAGAGATGACACTTGTTGTGTGACTTCCTACAGCGCCCACCCTCCCGGAAGCTGAAGTCCCGGAAGCCTCGCCTGGGACAGCTTTTCCACTCAGACTTCACGCTGTTGCTCCTGGTGACACCTGAGGACACCTGCAGACATCCCGGTGTTTCCCTAGGCGTCTAGCAGCGGAGAGAGGGCCCAAATCAGGAGGAAAGTTCAACACGAGTCGGACAGCAACTTCCCATGCTGCCATCTTACCTCTTCCACCACCTTGGAGAAACAGTGGAGTGTCGAGATGACTTCTTCATCACCTTTGCCAAGGGCAAAGTTCTAAGACGAAGGATAAAGAGCCAGGCGTTACCTGAACACGGAGCTGGGCACCGAGCATCTGCCACCCAGCCCCTGCACCCCACTTCCCTCCTCCAAGCAAGCAGGCCCAGGCCCACCCGGAGGGCGGGAGGAAGCAAGTGTCCACGCCTGGGCCTCAGGACCATGCAGCAGTTACCTGTTTCTCGTACGCCAGCAGCTGCTTGGAAAGCTGCTGTGTAGCCAGGCACATTTCATTCTGCAGGGAGAAGAGACAAATCAAGTCAGGTTTGTCATGGAGAAAGCCCCTCTCAGCATCCCTGAGAAGTGTGCGCCCCTGTGGGATGGTGAAACACCAATCCCGGCATCGCTTAGAAAACAAGACCGAGACAGGTCAGAAGGTAAAAGCCAGACCACACTTTGGGGCTCTCTGTAGGCCAGAGGGGACCGTGTTGCCTCCCTCGATGCCATGAGGAGCCGCCATGGCGGCACAAGGTCAGGCGATGGCTCATGGTGTTGCCTCCTGCTCGGGCACTGGGGAAGGCAGCATGGGGACAAACCGCAGGCCGTGTCCAGACACAGATGGGCTTGCAATGGCTCAGCGCAGAGCAGGCGGCACTCAGCAAGCGCCAGATGGATGGATGAATGAGTGAACAAATGAATGAGTGAATGAACAGATTAAGCAAGGCAGGGCGAGGCATCTAAACTTCGGGTCCAGAACAATCCCAGTGGAAACATCACTGACAGGGCTGATGAAATACAAGAGCTGAGAGGGAGCCCGTGACTGCCGCGTGCCTCCCGAGGGCTGCGTGGTCACCATGCAGGAGGAGGCTCCCAGCCGCTCGCAGGGGCTGGGCTGCTGCTCTGTGACCCACCAAGTCCCCTCTTCCTCCTGCGTGGGCAGTGCAGGGTTGGAGAGGGATTTGTCCACAACCTTGGCCTCTGCCTGAGGACGCGGCCCTGTGCAGGCTCCGCTGCGCCCCACACACTGCAGAAGCACTGTGAGCCAGTGCGGCAGGCTCAGGTTGCTAAGTGGAAACTGAGGCACAGGGAGGCGCGGTCACCCAGCCAGGGAACGATGGGTCTGTCTGATGCTAGTCGCTCTGAGATGCGACCGGTCAGAGATGAAGCCTCTGTGGCCCACTGCTCCACACGCATTCTGTGGAAAGGGTGGGCTTGGGTCATACGCTCTCAGCCCTAATATTCACGTCTGCTGTTGCAGCAAAAAAAGAGACTGAAACAGCATGGAAACGATGCATGCCACGGCTTCCTGTAGAAGTGGGAGGTCAGCATGTGCCAGACCGCTGCTGGCCCTGCAATGACCCTAATGTCCCCAAACCCTGCAGGCCCACTGCAGCTCCCTGGAGACATTCCTTAAGCTTTGGTCCCTCAGGTCCAGGAACACTTTCTATTCTTCTAGTTCATTCCTTTCTTTGTCTAACTTGGAAATGGCATCCCCCATAGCTGCATCGGTGTCGTTCACAGACCCGTCAACAGACTGGGGGACCACCCTTGTCTTAGTCACTTCCGGTGCTGACACATGGTGCCCGACACCTGCAACTTAAAGGAGGAGCGGCTTATCTTGGGTCAAGGATTTTAGAGGACTCAGTCCAGAGGTGGCTGGTTCAAAGGGGCCTGGCGGAGGAGAGCTGCTCGCAGCATGGCGAACAGGAAGCCGAGAGAGGAGGGGCCAGTGGCCACATCCAACCGGGCCCCCCTGAAGGCAAGGCAGCCCTAACTGTAACCCAACCACCATGCAGAGGTCCTGGCTGTGATCATGCAGGGCTTTAAGGGGATATTTGTGTATAAACTGACACCCCACAGGCCACCTCAGTTCTTCAGAGTCTGCTGGCCAATGCTCCCCATGTCCTGGGAAAGCCTCGCAGGACACTGTCCACTGTCCAGCACTGGCGGGGAGGCCCTTGAGCACCACTGACCCAGCGCCACATGGTCCATGAGGAAGGGGCCACTTTCCATGATGGCTGGGCACAGTGGGACCCTGCCGTGTCCCCCTGGACCTGTCTCCTGCGAACGCAATCTCTCAGCGGCAACATAAGGCAATGCAGGTTCCATCTGCCATGATCATCACCCTGGGGACCAACCACACTCACAAGAGGTGTCACCCACCCAAAGGGACAAAGCTCGCAACGGGGCGTCCTCTGCACTGGGCTCACTGTAATCCTACTCCACTTCCTTTGTGGGACACACGGGGTCCTGACCTGGGGGCAGTGCTGGCCAGTGGCCCATGCCCAGGGAGGGGAGGGTGGGGAGCCGCACAGGTCCCTGCAACAACACTGCAGAAGCGGAGCTGCGGCGAGGAGCTGAATCAGGAACCACAGAGACATAGCCGCTGAGGCGGAGTCTCCCGTGCATACCGCTCACAGGGTGCAGAGGCCTCACACAGTCTCACATTGGCCCTGACTGCTCTCATCCCGTGGGACAAGTGAGCGTGTAGAGGTTCACAGAGGAAGCCCGCAGCTTACTGAAACTCAGATGCCTGGGAACTGGGAAGGCAGAGGCGGCCCAAAGCCCAAGTTCCCAACACCTTGCTGTTCCAACTGTAGAGTGTGATGGAGAAAACAGTGGATGCTCAGGTTTTTAAGAATTTATTACAGTAAAAGACACATCACCTTTAATCTCCCTCACAATTCTTCCCCCTGCTTCAAACACTCATTCCATCATCCTCGCTACTTTCTGCAGCAGCTCTGGAGTCCTCTTTTCTAAGCGGCTTTCGCTGCACTGTTGCGGCTGCCTCAGTGTGCTGAATTGATTCAAAAGATCGATCTTTCATGGTCATTTTTACTTTGAGGAAGAGCCAGAAGTCACACAGTGCCTGATCCCCTGAATAAGGTGAATGAAGACTATTATGACTATTATCCAGATGTCCCCAAAGACTCCTTGGCTCACAGGTGGGGCTTCAGGGAGGCCACTGGATGGTGGATATGTGACACTGGATCAGTCCACCGATGGGTTTATAGCTGGGTGTGATGCTGGGAGGTGAAGCCTGGTGGGAGGAGGTGGTCACGGTGGGCATGGCCTGGAAAGGTCTTCTCCCTCCTCCTCCCTTGATGGCTCACTGCTTCCTGCTACCCTGCCATGGACTGTTTCTCCTCTGCCAGGCTGCCCCGCCTTGGAGCCAACTGACTATGGACTGAAACCTCTACAGACTGTGAGCCAAAATAAACCTGTCCTCTTTTAACTTGTGGGTGTCAGGCATTTTGTTGCAGCAATGGGAAAGTAAGACAAGGATACACCATGATGTCTTTACGAGCCTGCCTTGCAATTGGATGGCACTTGGCAGTAGCCTTCACTACATTCTGATCACACCTTGTGAAGACACTCAGGAAAGAGGACTCCAGAGCTGCTTCAGAAAGTGGCCAGGACAAGGGGATAAGTGTGTTCAAAGTGAGGGCGAGGATTTTGAGGGGCGTTCATGGCAATATGTCTTTCACTGCAGTCAAATTTTATATAAACATTCACCGTGTATTCATCACCTCCCGTATCTAGCTAATACTCAGGTGGGCAGGAGGCCTTGGAGGGCCTACAGACCGGAACGCAAATCTCACACTTTCCTAGCCACAGCCCAGCAAAAGAGGTGGCCCAACACTCAGCTTCGGCACAGAGTCCGAGAGTGACATCCTCTCCACAGCGCCTCAGGTGCCCAACAGGCGCCTGCTGCTGAGCTACGCCTGGAGCAGGCTCTTGAGGCCCCGGGACAGCTCCCGGGCTCCAGCCACACTCTGCTGCATCCCGAGGCTCCTCAGGAACCTGCGCTGGGTGTGGCTCAGTGGGAGACCCCAGCTCAGCACCCACAGGCCCCTGGGTTCTGTGCCCAGCACTGCAAAGACCAAACCAAACCGAACCAAAAAGGCAGCACACCGAGGAGCAACTCGCAGACAGCAGCTCCTGGGCTAGCGAGGACCTCCCGGGGCAGGGGGGCAAGCAGCCAACAAACCCCAGGTGAGCTCTCGGCTGGGGAGGAGGAGATGGCCCCCGGCCGGCGCCCATTCGGGCACTGGCTTCCATCTGTGTGGCCGAGATGCAGCCTGAAGCCAGGGAGCCAACGGTCACTCATCACAGCGCTGTGAAGAACTGGACCCCTCTAGCGCACACGGAGACGGGCTTCTGCTAGGCCCCTTTGCAGCTCGGCTCCAGCACTTGGCTCCAGAGTAAGGTCGGTTCCAGACTTGAAGGCCTGGGTTCAAATTCTGGGTCTGCCACTCATCAGCTGTGTGACCTCCGGCCAGTGGCACAGCTTCCCTGAGCCGTCGTTTCCTCACCTGCGAGCACACACCTATGCTCACCCTACTCCTCTGCTTCAAAAGCTAAAGGAGACCACACTGACGGGACGCCCGGCCTAGCACATGGCTCTTCCATGCACTAATGTAAGTGCAGAGCTGGGTGTGGTGTGCACGCCTGTGATCCCAGCTCGGGGGAGGCTGAGGCAGGAGGATTGGCTGCGTTCAAGGCCAACCTGAATGACACAGGGAGATTCTGTCTCAAAAAAACGAGACAAGAACAGCTGCAGAGAGGGAGCTACGTTGGGTGAAGCCACTTTGCCAGAGGAAACTGAATGAGTCTAACCGTGGCCCTCACCTCAGAAATCTCCACACAAAGTCTACTTATTAAAAAAAAAAAAGAAAACAAAACAAAACAGAAACACCATTCTCATGGCCCTGATCTCCGAGGAGACAGTCGAAGCAAATTTCACTGTAAAGCCCAATGAAACCATTTTAAAAGATTAAAAAATGTCAAACCTTTTTAGGGAAGAAACAAATGGCATATTAAATGTACTGATCGTAAAATCTGTGTGGAGTGAACTCCAAGCGTGTACTGAAGCACCTGTCCACGCAGACTGAAGCTTTAAACATACGTGGCCGACAGCTGGAGACAGCTGAGCGTGCTGTGACCAGCCTCCGCTTCGTTACCGCGAGGAACACGCGGTGAGCGCTTCCTTCTCTAAGACAACCCAGCAGGAAGACTGTTCCCACCTCGAGCTTTGAGAGGCTTGTGATGGGAGGGACGGCTGCTGTAAGGTGATGAAAACCAGCCGGCTGGGTGGCCCATGCCTATAATGGTAGCACTAGGGAGGCTGAGGCAGGAGGATCACTGTGAGTTTGAGGCCAGCCTGAACTACATATGGAGACCCTGTCTTAAAAACCAACCAAACAGGGCCTGGATTTAGCTCAGTGGCACCACACCTGCCTCACAAGCACAAGGCCCTCAGTTCGATCCCTGGTAACAAAAACAAAGAAGCTGAAAGTCACTTACAGCCTATAGCTTCGTTCCAGAGCTTTAGCCAGATAAAATTTAAAACTTCCCCAAACCAGCCACAAGAAAGGAAACTTCTCACAGAACTTTCTCAGTTTTTTTCTGGCTCTTCCTTTTTCTCCAATAAAGAGCCAACAAACATTTGTTCCATCACGATCCATTATTTACCACATAATCTGTTTAAAATATCTTATACACAATTATCACTTATCAGCAGCATAAAGCTAGTTTCAAGATAAACTACATCTTGATTACTTTTTTTTTTGGTACCAGGGATTGAAATAAACTATATCTTGCTAAGTGTCTGTTCTTAAAAATGAAATCATAAAACTCTAATTCAACATGGTTAAGTATAAAGGACCTAAGGAATAACATGAAATAAACCAAGGAAACAAAACTCAGGAAGAAATCGAATGCAAACTCTGAAAAGTACTGCTATCTTAAAACACATATGCATCAAAGCAACTGGTCAAAGAGATTCTGAAGAGTTTTCTTTTTTAAATTAAAAAGGAACAAAAGAAAACACAACCTCCAAATTTTCCAGTAACCCTGATAAACCAAGTGAGCCGCCCTGCGGGTATCTACACAGCAGGTGCTGCAGGGAGCCAGGCAGCAGGGGTTTCTGGCCTCGGAGAAGCCCCGTGATGGTCATGTGCTGTGAACTCAAAGCTGGCTTCCAGCCTTTCAGAATGCAAGACCTACTTAATATTGGCAAAACCTAGTTTTTTGGCTCACAGGGAAAAAAACGCATGAGAGACTGCTTCAACTCTCCAAACAGAGGATTCAGCAGAGAGAAAAAGGGAGGGCAGAGGCAGTGGGCAGGGCCGACACATAACAGTCTCTAAGTCTGGGGGCCTGGAAGCCTTAACTGGCTTCACACAGTGACAGTATTCGGATTACTGAGGAGCAAGCTAGTTCAGACATAAGCCCACTAAAAAAAAGTTTTTAGGGCTGGGGATTTAGCTCAGTGGTTTCACCGCCTGCTGAGCAAGTGCAAGGACCCAAGTTCGATCCCCGGTACCAAAAAAAAAAGTTTTTAATTTTCTTAAATCTGAACTATCTGGGGAAAATACAAAAACACACAACATAAAAATCAAGGCTTCAAAATAAGAACTGACCAACTACTCGTGTCCCCAAGTCTAGCGTGTTAACCCAAACAAACAAGCAGGCAAGAGAGCAGTTTCTTCCAGGCGGAAGCCCAACTCTGACTGAGTTAGGCTTGCGCGGGCGTCCATCCACCTGTTACGGAGTCTGCAGGTGTCAGCTTCAACAGGGGCTCCTCACGCTGACACCCGGACACCTCCAGACAGCACTGCGTGGGCGTTCCCGCCCCGTGTTCTCATCTGTCCGCCATCTGTTCCAGTCAAAGGCCTGGGAGTCTCTCTTTAAAGTACACTGCTATGTTCAATGACACACAGTGACCATACGTGGATTGATCAGGGCAAGCTGCTGCTTAGCGGAACCCGAAGTCTCGCCGTCGGATAGGCATGGGGATAACAACACTGGCCCCTCAGGGCGGCTGGCTGAGGGGCTGCAATGAAATAACCCCTGGCAGAGCCCCGAAACCACCTGCACTCCATGGATCTTGCCCATGAGCATCACTATCCCTGGGACCCGCCTGGGATGGCCTGGACCTCGAATATCCCCAAGGCCCACATGTTGAGGGCTCAGTCACCACACGTGGCCACCGAGAATGGTGGAACCTTAGGGGTGGGGCCTGGTTGGAGGAAACAGTCATGGGGGGACCCTTGAAAGGGGACACTGGGACCCCGGCCCTGTCTGCTCCCCCGTACCACTTCCGGCCACCCTGAGGTGAGGAGTTTACATCTGCCGTGATGCATGGGCTCATCACGGGGCCAGAGCAGCAGCAGGCCAAGCACCAGAGGCTGAAAACTCTCCAGGAGCCAAAATGAACCTCTCTTCCTCATCAGCTGGTTTTCTCAGGTGTCTGTGGCAGCTCCAGAAAGGTGACTGCTGAACTCTGTGGGCAGAGGCGCCTCCGCCCCTAGCACTTCCAGTCAGGGCTGGGAACTGTGTCTGTGTCCTGCCCAGCAGGAGGCTCTGTGACAAGGGTGGACGCCGCTCCCATGGAGAGACAGACAAGGAGACAATGAGTGATGACACAAGGGCTGGGCCGCTCCACTAACGACTGGACACGGTCATTAGGAGCGTCCACCACCCACGGTGGCGCTTAGGTCTGCAGAGATCACGGGTGAGGAGAAGAAATATGAGCACACCCAGATTTGGGCTGGCAGGGAGTCAGCATGAAAACTCTTCCATGCCACGACTCTGCAATGTGTAACACAATCCTGTTTCTAAGCAACTCACAAATCTGCCCTCAGAAAGTGACACACATGGCGTTTTTTGAGTCTACAAGCTTCCTTTTTGCAGCTCAGCAAGTTATTTTCCATGGGTCTGCAAGCCCAAGGTATTTGTTCCTCAAAACAAGGCCGCCAGCCCATCGCTCAGGGCTGCGGCTCCAGTCTTCGAGGGGAAGCCGTGGGATCCAGCCCTGCCTTACCTGGCGACACCCAAGACGCCTCGAGTAGAGGGAGACAAAGCTCAGGAGCCACACACTCATCCACTTGCGGGAAGAGGAGACGCCCATGGTCCCCTTTTGGGTTAAATTAACATAAAAAGTTCAAAGCAGTGAGATGTCCCTCTCGACTGGTTCTTGTTACAGGAAAATTACTCTTTCTCAAGGAAACAGACTGTCTTTGACTTTGTGAGGTGAACAGAAATGAGAAAAAGAGTTCTGATTTTATTTCAAAATTATAAACCTTCTTTTTTTGAGTCTTGCTATGTAGTTCAGGCTGGCCTTGAACTCACTACTGAACTCATCGTGATCCTCCTGCCTCAGCCTCTCAAATGCTGGGATTACAGGTGTGCACCACTCATGTGCCTGGTTAAAATTTTAACTATTTTTCTGACTATGATTTCTCATCCCCCGGGGAAGGGCAGGCTTACCTGGGCCCCATAGACTCGCTGCATGGCCTGCAGCAGCTCGTTGGTATAGACGGTGAGAGTTCCAGCATCCTCTTCAAAGACGCTCAGCAAAGAGCGGGTCTGCAGGAGGAAGAGACATGGGGTCGGTTTGTTTCTCGGGGTTAGTTACACACCCGTGCGCACGCACACACACACACACACACACACACACACACGTGCACAAATAAAACAAGGCGGCAAGGTGTCTGGGGTTTTCTTGTTTACTTCCTGCAGGGGATCCAGGAGCTACAAGAGGGCTCCTTCGGGGCAGGGCCAGGCCGTGCAATGTGTTTTCGGGCCAGCAGCTGTTAAACCTTAAGGCAGCTGGGGACAGGGCTCAGTGGTAGAGTGCCCTCCTGCGCTGTTCGAGGTCTGAGCCCCATCAATGCAAATGGGGGGGGGAGGCGCTGCGGGGCCACTGTCCACCTGTCCTGCAGCCCCACCTGTGCACCTGTGAACCCTGGCAATGAAACAGTGATAGCAGCCGGCCTCTCCCTGCACGGGGAAGGAGGCCAGGCTGTCCACAATTGGGTGTGGCAGTGGGGCGTGGTCAGCCTGGCTCCCACTGCTGGGTTCAGGGCCAGCGTCCTGCAGAGTGCATCCTATTCCTGCTCAAGACACCACAGGCCAGATGCATGGATTCTGCCACCGTTGATTCAATCAACTCTCAGACTTGGGGCCAGGAATCTCACAGCCGGGCCGACCCTGCAGGAGGGCAACTGAGTGCAGGTCCGGGCTGGGAGGCACCTAGGCAGGCACTGAGCTCTCAGGGGCCTGTTCACCGGTGCTGTAGGCACATGCGCCAGGGTGTCCCCTCAGGACTGCCCAGCACTGTGGGAACCTCAACCGCGATCTTTGGAAGAAACACTGTGCTGGGAACATATGTCACTCTTCAAAACTCCAGGGGCTCTTTTTTTTTTTTTTTTTTTGGTACTGGGGATCGAACTCGGATCCTTCTGCTTCCAAGGCAGGCGGCAGAACCACTGAGCTAAATCCCGGGCCCTGGGGGCTCTTTTTCTAAAATTTGTTTTGAGGCAGGGTCTTGATATGTAGCCCTGGCTGGCCTTGAACTCACTGGGATCCTCCTGCCTCAGCCTCCCGAGGGCTGGGATTACAGGTGTGCACCACCACGCCCAGCTACAAGTAGCTCTTTTTATTCTCAGTCCAAACAAAGCTCAGAGAGGGTGAATATCTTGCCAAAAGCCATATTCAGGATCTGAATTCCATCCTTTCCCTGCTACCCGACCCTCTCCGCAGTGCCTGTGGCAGGGCCCTATGGCATGGCAGTCATTTACCTTAGAGTCAAAACAACCTGGGTGATGCCCAGTCAGACAACCCCGGACATTCTCAATAGCATAGGAGTGTGGAATGGTCTGATTTTAACCGTGCTGATTATTTTACAAAGTGTCAAAGTTAAAAACAAAGTTCTCATATGCAGGAGCAAAGCACTGACACCAGCAAGCCCGAGTGAGCTCCTGTGCCCAGCATATCTCTGCAGGCTGAGAGTTGAGAGCGAGCTGTCCCTTCTTCCCAGTCTCCCCCTGGCCGCACTGCACACACTGTGCCGGAACCACGGCCTCCTTATCTGTCCCCAGCACAGACCGTGCGACAGCCAGCAGCAGCTGCACCTGTCTTGTTCATGATCGCATTCCCAGCGGGCAGTGCTGGGCAGAGACCCTGCAGCACCCGCCTGTCACCTGTGGGGGAAGGGGAAGGACCCAGGCGTGCACACACTGGCTCTCAACACGGCGCAAGCTACAGAGAGAAAATGAACAGCCGAAGCTGAGGTCACTGATTCCATTCAGCTCCTCCCAGGCCACGTGGTTCAGATACAAAAGCTTTTGTGTGCATTCAGTTTGTCCTGTGCAGCAGGTTACTGAAGCAACAACCCTCCTGCTCTTGCACCTAGCACCGGAGGATGCAAACAGTAGATGGTTTCTGAGGATCTTTTCCTCTCAGGGAAACAACACTTCAGGTCAGCCATGACAGGAAGCCATGGGTGAGGAAACTGGGTAGCACCAGTGATCTCCTTTTCCAGTCCTGCCGCTGTCACTTTGGTACGTCCCAACTCGGCCAGGTTACTTAGCTCTCTGCTGCTCGGTCACTTCCGAGAGAACTGTAGCAAGTCCAGCAAGAGCTGGGGGGTTTCAGGAGTCAGTGATAAAGCCCTAGGAGCAGAGCTGGCGCAGAATGGCAGGATCCAGGCACTCGCTGCTGCTCTCATTCTTCCCTGAGAAAATCAAGGAAAGGGATGCGACTGTTTCCAGCTCCAAGCCTGTGCCCGCCCCTCCAGTGTGCAGTGTTGACCGGCACCTGCCGCACAGCAGAGCGAGACCACCCCACAGCCAGCCTCCCCTCTGCAGCAGCTGCACCAAGACCTCAAAGGGTGGCAATCAAGTCCCAACATAGCGACAAACTCCCTACATTAAAGGAACACTAAGCTGGGTGTGGTGGTGCACACCTGTAATCCCCTCCCCGTGGGAGGCTGAGGCAGGAGGAGTTCCAGGCCAGTCTGGGCTACATGGTGACTTCAAGGCCAGCCTGAACTGCACAGTGAGGCCCTGTCTCAAGGAAAACAATTTAAGAAGCAACATTTTTAAAGGAACATTAAATAGGAATGGCAATGCGTCTATACTTCTCTTCCCACGCACAGGCTCAAGGTTATAAACCACAAAGATACGACAAGACTTAAAGCTTCCAAAGCACCTCGGAGACCATCTGCTCCACATCCCTCTTCTACAGAGGGTCTGCAGATGAGAAAACCGAGCCGGCCACAGGATGGGACGTCACTAGCATGGGACGTCACTAGGCCAAAGCGCAAGGTAGCTAAGCCAGCGCTGAGACCCAGCTGTCCTGGCTCCTCTGCCAGTCCTCCTGCCCCCCACAGCCCTGCACACCCACTCCGAAGTTGTGTCTGCTGGTTTGCGGGACAGCCGAAGTTTCAGAACGCGATTTGTCAGCGAGGACAAGCAGAGGCCAGAGTGACATCTGCACCCGAGCTGGCTATCACCAAGTCCGGTTAGGGAAGCAGCGCATCCGTGCTCAGTCTCTCCAGCCCAGAGCTCACAATGACAGTCAGAAACTTCATGCTCTGTGCTCAGACCCCACAACGGGGCCCCTGATGGGAAATGCTCTCCAGTCCGGGCTCTGGTCTGACCCGAATACCCCAAGTCCAGAGCTGGATAAAGCGGCCTCTGAGAAGGCAGTCACCCGAAGGATCTCAATTTGCGCAAAACACCAGCCACAGCTTGCTTAGTTTCCTGCTGTCCATGGGTGTGTGTGCGTGTGTGTGACAAAGAAAGGACACAGGACACAGGTGACCGCCCTGTGCCTCGCTCTCCATGGAGCGATGGAGACTGAGGGCAGGGAAGGATGAGAGGCTCCCGGGCCAGGCCGTCCTGTCCGACCAGAAGGACAGGGAGGGGACCCAAAGGGGACTCAGAGCAGTGTGGCTTAACCGCACTGAGTTTTCAAGAGTTGAGACGCTAGGGATAAAGACGCTTATTTAAATCGCCCAGGCACGCAGGCCCAGGAGCAGAGGGGAGGCAGGGGGCATGGAGAGGCCGCCAAAGCCGAGGGCAGGTGCGCTGAGCTGCACTGCGGTCACCGCACTCTTCCAGGGTCTGCACACCGCTGCCCCGCCCACGCTCCCAGGACTGGGCTCACACTCGGAGCAGAGCGGCGGGCCTTCTGATCTCCTCTCCACACACGGGAAACAGTGCCAAAGGGAGCCCACGACGCCTGGGGAAAGGAGCCGGCGTTCTGCTTCCCGCTCTGGGCCCTAAATCCACCAGATCTCAGCACAGCAGTTCCCGTGGAGCCAGACTGACCTACTCCGACCCGAACTCCACAGGCTTCTTCCCATCTAATTCTAACACGGGTACATTATCCCTATTTCACAGAGGACAAAGCCAACGCACAGCCGGTAGGGATGGTGAACGACTGGCATCTCCGCACTCTGGGAGGCTGAGGCAGGAAGATCGCCAGGTCCAGTCCAGCCTGGTCAACTTAGCGAGACCCAGTTTCAAAATAAAACGGGCTAGGGATGGAGCTCAGAGTGAAGGCCCTGTGTTCAATCCCCAGTATTGAGGGGGAAAAAGGCAGAGAAGGTGACGTCCCCTGCTCGGGACACCCCCGGCTAATCCAGTGGGAGGGGGGGCGGCGACACCGTGCTGGGCCGCGGCGGCCTTAGGTCCCCAGCTCTGCCCAGCTGCGCGAGGGCGCGGCAGCGGCGGTACCTGGGGGCTGTCCTGCAAGGCCTCCTCCAGCAGGAGCTTGTCCACGGAGGGCATGGCGCGGCGGGCGAGGGGCGAGGACAGGCCGAGGACGGGCCGAGGACAGGCAGAGGACGGGACGCTCCGTGCTCCGGGACTCGGTCGCTGCTCCGGCCGCCGCGGCCCCGCCCCTCCCAGACTAGCCCCGCCCCCGATCGGGCACGCCCCCTCAATGTCCCTCCCCAACCTCGGCAGATCAACAGGAAGTGTGGCGAGCGCCCAGGGAATCACAGGAAGTGGGTCGGTCACGCTTCCGGCCGTAGGCCCACCCTCGCGGGGAGCCCGAGCCCGCTTATAAAGTGAAGGAGTGGGAGGGTTCTGTAAGTGAGGCTGTCCTCTGGCCTGTGCCGGTCAGTGCCTAGAAAGACAAGAAAGAGGAGCTCGAGGGTGGAAAGATAGAGTTGTTCTGCCTGTGGCTGCTCAGAAAGCCATTGAGTAGGAGGAGATAAAAGGAACAGATTTGCTGCTGTTACTGTCAACCACCCACTTTTTTTTAGGTACTGGGGAGCCCTGAGCTACATCCTCAGTCCTTATTTCCTTGTTTCTTTCCTTCCTCTCCTCTCTCCCTCTCTCTCTTTTGACTCTGAGAGTGGATCGCCCCGAGTTGTCCAAGCTGGCCTCGAACTCGCAGTCTTCCTGCGTCAGCCTTCGGAGTAGTTGGGATTACACATGGCTCACCCGGCCGGCTCTCGCCTTTACTGTGAACGGAGAGACATCCCTACACTTCTCACACCGATTTTACTAGATAAATGTCAATTCCCCGAAACAGCTCTGAGAAGAGAGGTCATTTAAGTCTGGAAGAAAACTGGATAGCTCTGAATCATCTGTGACATTCAGAAACAACCGTTTTGGAAATCACAGCCATTTGATTTGAACTATGATAATTAGATCCTATCCTCCTGGCTTGTTACGGTTTTTCATTTTGGAGAATTTTATGATCAAATTTTTAGAATTGGAATGGAGAGGTAATCTAGTTCAGTGTTGTCATTTAAAGATAAGAAAATGGATCCCAGTGAATGAGATGATTTGGTCAGGTATACAGCAAAAGCTACAGGGAGAAGAGCTGTGAGAGGGATAAGGAGACTGCTGAGGCAAGGTGACATCTTTTTATGGCAAAGGCGAGGGTCTCCGAAGTCCCTTCTTAGGAATCAGCAATTTTGTGCAAGAGAATACATCACCAAAATCAGCGGAAGAATATGATGCTACACAAATTATATATTCTGCAGAAACAACCTAGATACATCAAGAGAACTTGCCATGCAAACTCTTCCGGACGTCGATAGCCCAGTCTCCTATCACAAACACCAGTGCCATATTCCCTTGGTTCTGGACAGTGCCCACCTGCCCTGAACTATTGTCTGGCTCCCATCTATCATCCTTTTCCACAACATATTTCTGCTCTTGAAGTAGAATCTTGCTTCTACTATGGTGCTTCCTTTTCCTCATTCTACCAAGTGCCATTCAGTTAATTTCTCCTTGTGCAATATTCCACTCTTTCTGGACCAAAGTCCTCTTCCCCAAGGCCAGACACAAGCTCTTCTTTTCCAGTGATTGTAGGACTGATCCGAGGGTATGACTGTACTAGTGGAAAAGACATGCACACATTTTCATTTCAAAACACATCAAAAGGGGACAGCACTTTCCAGAACCCTTGAAGGGACTCTTTATTGCCTTAGGAATCGTCATATTTTTCAAGAATCACCTCATCTTCTAATTAAACTATATTTCCTCAAGCACCAATATTAAGAATTGTTGAACCTGTGTTGTTACACTATTTTGCTTGAAACTACATATTTCATTATTTGTCTGCATTTTATTACTACATTATGAGCTAAATACCCTTCAAGCAATTTCTAGGCACTTAAGTACCATTTATAACATTGTTTCTGTGGGAAACTAGATTCCAAAGGCAAAACAAGTTACAAAATGAAATCTGAAATATAACACATTTATAAACCCTTTAACTCATTTCATTAATCCATCCCATTATTCATTCATTCATGTAATAAATGTAAGGTGCTGTCCCTATTTTGCTGTCTTTACTGGTATTATGGACTACATAAGACAAATATTTTGTAAACATGAAAAATTGGAAACGTTTCACTGAAAAGTATCTCTCCCGGGAAAGTATGATGAGGGTGAGTTTCAGACACCCAGCCCCTGGGCCGGAAACACAAGGTCAGTGCCCAGAAGTGCAAAGGCCAGTGGTTGGAGGGCTCTGGCCTCTGTGCGCTAAGGAATTGTGACCTTCTTCCCACCGAACCCCAGCAAGAAAGGTGGGCAGGAAGCACAAACGTGTATTCAGGAGGACCAGGTCAAAGAAGGACTGGGCCTTGGAAAATAAGAGGGAAAGGCAGGAAGGAAGGAGGCCCTGCTGGGGAAGGGCCTTGGGGTCCACATGGCGAAGAACGTGCATTGGGATTCTTTCCTCTGCCTGCAATCCCCTTTCCCCTGCTTCTCTCTGCTGAGCCCAACTGCGACCTTCGAATCCCAGGTTCGTGTGACTCTGTGTGCGTGTTCATGTGTGTGCACGTATGTGTATGCCTCCAAAGCCTTTCATTTGCTTATGTACCCCTGTTACGGTTTAGACCCCCAAAACTCTCATGCTCAGGGGCAGGGCTTTTGGGAGGGGACTGGATCCAGCCTCAGAGCTGACGTGCCGTCAGGAGGTGGGGCCTAGTTAGAGGGGTGTTGCTGGGGGCGTGGCCTGGAAGGGTTTCTCTCCTTTCCTGGCTCCTCCCTTCTCTCTGCTTCCGGCCGCCATGATGTGAGCAGCTTTCCTCCACTCAGACCCTTCAACCACGGTATTTCTGCCTTGGAGCTGGCCAGCGGTGCAAGGACCGAGACTTCTAAAACTGTGAGCCAAAATCAACCTCTCCTCTAAATTGTGGGTGTTGGGTATTGTGTCTTAATGATGAGGAAAGCGACTAAGACACCCCCGCAAGCAAAATAGATCTTCCTCTCCTCTAGTATGCTTCAGTGGCTCTTGGCTAGCTCCTTCTAGAATAACACCCCTTGTGTTTGTTCTCACCCTGACTTTCCAGCTAGAGTGAGCAGGAACCTTGTCGTATTCGTTGCTGTAATTGTAGTACCTCATACACTACCTTACACGCTGCTCCAGAAATGCTTACTAAGATACAGCGTATTTTATTATAACTTACACGTGGTTAGTATTCCTGCATTTAAAAAGTGTTTCCACAAATCTCACTTCACTTAATACCACAGTGCTGTGATCCTTTTCAGTTTTTCACTTACTATTCGGCACCTACTATTTGCTGGACTCTTCTAGATGCTGAGGGTGTAACCTGAAACAAATAAAATTCTTTGCCCTAATGCAGCTCATATTTGAATAGAGGGGATAACAGTAAACAGATGCAAATTGATAAGCACCTGATGACCTTTGGCAAAGGAATAGAGGACTATAGGTGGTGAGGTAAGCAGGAAGGATCCTTTGAGGTGGCCAACATTTGGGCAGAGATTTGAATGAAGTAAGTGAGCAAGCCCAGCCGGAGGGAAGAGCGAGTGTTAAGGCCCTGAGGCATGTTCAATAGCTTGAGGATGAGCAGAAGGGCCAGTGTGGCTGGCATAGAGTAAGCAAGGAAGACTGGGAGAAGCAGAGGTTGAAGGGATGCCAGCCACCAGGTTGCAGAGGATGGAGGGTTTGGTCTGAGGCATGTCATCGCAGAGGACCTTGAGTCCATGGAAGGACTTTGGGTGGTGTTCTGGCTATGGCAGGAAGTAATTCTAAACGTGGTAGCCAAGTGGCCCGTTGACCAGTTCAGATTTGCATTTTTAAAGACTTTCTCCTGGCTTTAAGGAGAATACTGCAACCATTCAAGCAAGAGATTGTGAGGTCTGGATCAAGGCTAGGGCTGTGGTGGTTAGAGAAGAGATAGCTAAGCAAAAGGCTAGGGAGAGAAGAATGCCTGCCTTACAGCTGCTTTCTGGGTCACATCCACCTTCTGAGTTAATCATTAGCCCAGGACCAGGATATCCTGGTCTAAAGGCGTTGGGAAGAGGTGACCAGGTAACAGCTTATACATAATGAGTCTCTGGGCAAGCGACCAGCGGTCTGCAACTCTTGGCAACATTAACCCTAATTACCATGTCACTGGCTCTGCAGATTTAATACAGCCCCATCCCCTCTTCCCCTGCAGTGACAAACCTCAGGGCAAACCTCAGTCCCACTCAAAAAGCCAAGGTTTAAAACCCCAGACAGCAAGCCCCTCAGCCGTGAGCTTGTCCTGTGGAGTGGATCTTGTTTTTTCTCTTTCAAATAAACCACTGATCCTCCTCTTACTCTTGGGTGTCCTGCTCAGTTCTTTGTTCTGAACATCAGGAACCTGTCCAAGACCCCCAACCTAACAACAGTAGGAATGGTGAGAAGGGGCTGAAATCTGGTTGAGGTTTAAAGGTAGACTGGACTTAGGGCATAAAGGAAGTGGAGAGAGCAGGTGGGTCAATGGCCCTGTGATTTTATTGAGGTGGGAAGTACTAGGGGAGGAGCCAGTTGGTGGTGACATCAACCATTCCAGTTGGGACAGTGCATTTGGGATGCCTTCCAGACACCCACGCAGAGGGGCTGTGTGGGGGACTTGGACACATGGGCCTGGATCGAGGGAAGAGATGGGGCCAGTGGTATAAACCTGAGCATCCACCAGCATGTGGGTGGCATTTAAACCATGAGAGGGTATCAGGTCTCTTAGGATTGCATACAGACGGGAAAGAGGGAAGGGTGGAAGACTGAATCTCAACCAAGATTCAGCAGCCAACAAAGGAGGAGGAAACTAATAGACCATCTTAGAATCCCTACAAACAAGAAAGGTGGAGGCAACTCTTTCCCATAGGCCGAGCAAGGAAAGTGTTTCAGAAGAACTGATCCACAATGCCACAGGCAGCTAGAGACCAAGTAAGGACTGGGATTGACCTTCACCTTGGGCACTGGGAAGGTTCCTGGTGAACTTGGTAAGAAACTGCAACGAGAATGCTTTATTGGAAGATGCTGTGCCCAAGGGCAATGGCGGGAAGACAAATGAACAGGAAGTTTTTTTCTTTCCAGGGCTGGGAATCAAATCCAGAGCCTTCACTCTACTACATCCTCAGCCTTATTAAGTTTTCATTTTGAGACCGGACCTTGCTAAGTCACTAAGTTGCCCAGGATGGGCTGGAATTTGTAATCCTCTTGCTTCAGCTTCCAGAGTATTGGGATTACAGGTGTGCAGCAGCAACCTCTTACAGGTTTTCCAGGGAAGGAACTGCAAGGATGACAAAGAGAGGAAAGTTTGTGGTTTATTTGCTTGTTCCAGCTAGGAGACCTTGTGGACTTTGGGCAAGTTACTCAACTTTTCTGAGCCTTGGCTCTGCTATGGTACGAGAAAGCCAATGCCAATCACAGGCTGGCCCATGGGCCCTTCTCTGTGTGTCCTGTGTTAAGGAGGACTTTTCAGCTGCAGATGACAGGAACCCAACTCCTTTCTTTCTTTTTTTTTTTTGGTACTGGGGATTGAACCAGGGACCTTGTGCGAGGCAGGCAGCCTCTGAGCTAAAATCCCACTGAGCTAAATCCCCGGTCCTCCTTTCATGTTTTTAAAGAGAACCAGACAAAGGCTGGAGACCTGAGGGGTGAGGAGATCCTGCTTCATAGATTGTTTCTACACCAATGAGAATGAGCCAGTGGAGTTGGGGAACAGTGAGACATGCAGAAGAGGGAAGTAGCCAGCGTCCTTGAGCAGACAAAAAGAAGCAAGACCCAAGTCCCCAGGGAGGGGGACAGCCTCAGACAGAAGCAGGGGAGGTGCATTCTGAGGGACACATGTGACAGAGGGGAGATGACCAGGGAAGATGGAGGATGGAGGAGTTCTTTTCCATGACTTTTCTTGTTGTCAGGAAAAGGCGAGGCCATCAGCCCAGAGCACTGATGGTCAGTGGTCGGATGTGCTGGAGGGGGGGCGGGGGGTCGGGTGGAGTCGTCGCCTGGGGGCACAGTGAGTGAGGCATAAGAATTAGCGTCTCTATTTTGCAGGTGCCATAGCTGGGATCAAATGTAACAGAAACAAGGGTCCGAGTGCCAGGAGAGGAGAAGGAAGCTGCTCAGTTGGAGGCCTAAGGCCACTTGACCCCAGGACTCTCTCTCCTCCCTCTTGGTGCCTGCCGAGTGTCTGGTCCACAGCAAGCGTGCTCAGGGTGGCTGCTGAATGAGGGACTGTTCCCGCCTCTCTACCTCAGACCTCTGTGATGCAGGCTGTGTCTTCAACACCTGCCCCTGGCTGTGCTTTGCTTCTGGTCTCTGGAAGCAGAGAGGGAAACCGAAGTCCGCCAGGGCAGGTTGGTGTCCTTCAGGGCTGAGAGGCCACCGTGGGAATCAAGGAAGAGGGGATGTGGGAGAGACCTTAGCAGTTCTGGTGCTGGTCTTGCGATGGAGATCGACCTTCGGCTGTGGCTCAGGGCAAAGGTGACCCGGTTACTCTACTGCTTAAACTCCTCAGTGTGATGATAATAACAGGAACTTAGGAGCTATTGCTGTGTGCCTCCTTCTTTTACGGTGTGAAGGCCACCACTGAAATGGATGTGTGCCAACAAAATTCACATGCTGAAATTCAGTCCCTGTGAGACGGTATTAATAGGTGGGACCTCCAAGGGGGTTTAGGTCACCTCCATAAGGCAGAGCCCTCAGGCGTGGGATCAGAATCTGTGGAAGGGCTTGAGGGAGCCTGCCTGTCCCCTGTCCCCTGCCAAGTGGGGACTCGGTGAAAGGGTGCCGTCTGTGAGGCACAGACACTGAACCTGGTACCTGGACCTTGGACTTCTCGGCCAACGCTGGAGTTCTGGAGAGCAGTACTGGAGAACCGGAAGTACTTCTCAGTGCCGAGAGCAGCCCAGTCTGAGGTGTTTACTTCAGCCTGAACAGACCACACAGGGGACCCCTAAAGTCCCGCCCAGAGCCTCTGCCGTCATTTGCTGTGAGACTCCCTGTTTCAGTGATGAAGAAGAGTCTTGGAGGCCTGAAGGGCTTGCCCACGGTTATCTCACTTCAGAGTCGGGCTCCCCCGCTTCTCGGCGGCCTTATTCCTCCCCGGGGTTGCACCGTCCCCCCTGTGTCCCTCGGCGCCCCCACGCAGATTTATTGCAGTCCTCGGGGGTCTGGTTTCCCGCACACGCCTCCTCCGAGCGCCAATGCCCAGGTCCCAGCGGCCTCTCCGCCACCCATCCCCCAGAGCTCTGCTTAAATCTTGCTTCTGCAGCCAGTGAGGGTCAGTGCGTGCTCAGAGATGGAGCCGACCCTCCGCCCCACACTGCTGAACGCTGGGGCCCGACACTGGGAGCGAGATGCGGACACGGCTTCCGGCCTCCGCGGGAGCTTCCGGCCCACGATGGAGGCCGCCAAGGGTGACGCGTTCTGGCGGGGGCGCGGTGCAGAGGAGGCACGGGCCGCGGTGGGGTCTCGGGTTCAGAACGGGACAGCGTAGGGGGGAGGCCGCCACCATCGGCTCAGGCCTCGTCTTACTTGGAGCCCCGTGTGCTGCTAATTGGCGAGTCACTGTGAAAGCAAGTAAAATGCATGCTAGTAAGAACTGTGTATTTAGGGTACTTTCTCTAAATCATTTGAGCAGTATTCCAAAGAAGTAAGATGTTTTCCTAGAATCGCGCATCTTTACATGGCATTTCAACAAGAGGTGCAGTGGAGCCTGGTCACCTTGCCAGGAAAAGCTAAGGCTACGTTTACTCCAGTGCCCCTCTGCCTCAGTCACTGACATTTCTCAGCGGTTGAATGTTCACTACAGGTGACAGCCCTTCATAAATAAAACCGAGAGCTAGGTGAGGTGGTTTGTGCCTGTAATTCCAGCACTCCGGGAGGCCGAGGCAGGAGGATGCAAGTTTAAGCCTAGCTTGGGCAACTTTGTGACTTAGTGAGACCCTATCTCAAAATAAAAAAACAAAAACAGGCTGGGGATGGAGCTCAGTGCAAAGGCCCTGGGTTCAATCCCCAGCACCACCACCACCAAAAAAGAGTATTGTTTCTTATTAATTAAAAATTTTATATATTCATCATATTCCCAACACTTCTCAAGGATTCTGATTTTTGGCCATCAAATCCTGAAGATCATATAGGTTGGAGTTTAAAAACACTAGTAGGGCATGTAGGATAAGTAAGACCTTCTCTGAGTATTGTAGGTCAGTTTCTCCTGACCTCTCTCCATCCACCTGTGGGACTGATACGTGATTTATTAGTGCTTATGTCGTTGTCATATTCATTTATATGACCATCTCTCTAGACTCAGCTGTGAACCCCCAAATTATAAGGCCTTTATGCCATGTATCTATTTAGCACTGAGCAAAAAGGACCTCATTTAAATTGGGTTTCAGTAAAGATTTGCTCAGTGAGTAGGGTTAGATTTGGCTATCTAGTTATTAAGAGAGGAATAATAGTATTTAAAACACGACAGCTGCTTATTTTTTTATTTCACTGTCAGCCCAGGGCTAGCATGTTAGCACAGTAGCAATCACAGATTCTTCTATCCCAGTGTTTTGACTCCTTTCCCAAAGTCACTCATGGCCCAAAATGGCTGCTAATCCTCTAGTCATTAAGTCAACATTCCAACTAGTAGAAGTGATACTATGAGCCCATAATAATCAAGAGTGATACTGTGACACACCCAGACAGTGAGATACATTGTTTCTCATATAAGTCATGTCATAAGCCTGTGTGTATGACTTATATTTAACATCATGGTCTCAAACTGCATTCATTTGCCTACAAATGACTCAGCTTATCCTTCTTTGTGGCAGAGTGGTATTCCATGTGTAAATACCACATTTTCTTTAACCATCCATCGGTTGATGGAGATACAAGCTTCTTCCCATATTTAGCTATTATGAATTGTGCTGCTATAAACAAGGGTGTGCATGTATCATGATGTATTTAACACTTTCAGGAAGATACCTAGAAGAGGTATAGCTGGGTCAAATGGAACTTCTAATTTTAGTGTTTTTGTTTTTTGGGGTTTTTTTCCCCTGGTATCCAGAATTAAACTCAGGACCTTGCACTTGCCAGGCTGGCACATGGCACTGAGCTGCGTTCCCAGCCCTTCCTAATTTTAGTGTTTTTGAGGAATCTCCATATTCATTTCCTTAGTGGTTATCTGGGATTCTATTTTTGCAAAAAATAAAAATAACAGTGATCTCTGCTGTGGGCCTCTAAAATGAGTGAGTTAGAAACAACTCTCTCTAGAACGTTTGAGTTAACAGAATAGAAGGCAAAGACGGAGAAGGTAAAGGGTGAAGATTCTGATAAGACCACTGGACAAAGCCCCTAACCTGTGGCGAGGTCAGGACCGCTGTTCTGGTGTTGGGCTCTGCTTTTTATCACCTCCTTGGGACTCTGTTGCTGGGAATAGAGCTTTCCATTGGAACTCAAAAAAAAGGCAACGTTTAGGAAAAGAATGCTTTAGTCATAAGGTCACTGACTTCGAATTTCTGCCTGTCTGCAAGATCGGCAGCCAGGCCCTCCGCTACCGGGACTTTGAAAGTGGGAGGAGCGAGGGCCTGGGAAAAGCTCCAGAAAGTCCCGGTCTGGCCCTTATTTCTGGTCATCAGCGAGAACCCCAGAGCTGCGGCGGAGGGTCCCTTTCCTAGAACAGAGTTCGCATGAGGAGGACAGCAGGGCGCTGGCTTTGGAGTTGGGCCCGTGCTCGTCCCGAGGTGTGGCGAAGTGCGTCACCTTGTGAACTGCAGCTCGCCTCTCCCTGACAGGACCCGGAGGTACCTTTGGCAACTGTTTCCAGGGCAGCTGCCTCTGTGTTGGTCGGGCTTCTTGGAGATGTAAGCAACAAAACTCAACCCTGAGCAGCTTAAGGAAAACAGAAAAGGTTGGGGTGAAAGTTGCTGGGTTTCTTGGATTCTAGGAGGAAGGCACCTGTGAAGCTGGAGGCTGCCCGGAGCTGGAATCTTGCAACCCCAGGGCTTTCTGTTCACATCTCCTCCAAATGCCTCCCTTCTTGCTGACTTCATCCTCTAGACCCGTGTCTCAGGGTGGCCAGACCACCCCGGGGCCAGCTGGGAGCTGCAGGCTCACTGCCCGGGCGAGAGAGGAAAACTGGAAAATCCAAGCTGGTATGGTGGCCTGTGCCAGTATCCCAGCTCCTCGGGGGGCGGAGGTGGGAGGGTGGCTTGAGCCTCAGCTGGGACGAGGGAAAGAAAAAGAGCTCATGGGGAAGAACTCTGGTTGTCCTGTTTTGGGACACAAGCACCCGTGTGCATGCGTGTACACAGCGCCAAGTACCACGCTGCCCCCGCCCAGGACAGAGGAGGTGGGGTCTGTTACCAGAGGAGGGGCGGGGCGGGAGACTGCACAGACCGAAATATGACAAAATGTGACACGGCCACGCCTGTCCCAGCCCCAGCCCACCCACTCTTCCCCTCACCCAACTCCCTCTGCCCGCCCCACGTCTCGGCCCTGGCGCTGAGGCCACCTGCAAGGAATCACCAAGCCCAGTACCTTCCCCACGGACTCCTGGCCTGGCCACCCCTCTCCCTGCCTCTTGTGTCCCCTCCGGCCTTTCCTGTGCCCCTGCCATGACCGGTCCCTTGCTCCTGTCACCTCTCCCTCTCCTCTTCTTTTTTTTTTTTTTTTTGGTACTGGGGATCGAACTCGGGACCTTGCACTTGCGAGGCAGGTGCCAGAACCACTGAGCTAAATCCCCGGCCCTCCCTCTCCTCTTTCACACTGTGGCAAGTTACTTTTCCCACAGCCACAGTCTTCCGGTGCCTCTTCTCTGCTCAGGATTGTTTAATGTGTCCCCACCAAGGCCAGCTGCATAATTTGTGGAGCCTGGTGAAAAAAAAAAAAAAAAAAGTCCAGAAAACAAAGAAAAGTACCATTGGAAGTCCTAAAATATAAAACTTTTTGCAATTTTTTGGTGGCCTATTTCTCTACTTTCATGTTGTTTTCTTCAAAATAAAGAAAAATTCAGATTATAAATCGTTAGCATGAACTTTACTTTTCACCTTTTATTGTACAGTGCCAGTTTTAAATGAGAATAGAAGAGCATGTAACCTGGACAGGGAACCACCGCAGTTACCCGATTCAGATTTGGTAGCCCTTGTACTTCATTCTTACCAGCATGCAGGAAATGCTGCACAAAACCTTCCCAAGTGTAGGTTTCTTCTTTTCTTTTTTCAGTAGTGGGCACTGAATCCGGGGCCTCGCCCATGCCAGGCAAGAGCTGTTCCCCTGAGCAGCAGCCCAGCCCGTCCTTACTCCCTACCAGGCTCCATGCAGGGGAGGTGGCAGCTCTTGCAACACCTCTGCCTCTTGCTCTGGATCCAAACCCTGATGCATGCTCAGCCTGCCAGACTCCGGAGCTCGCAGGGCACTGTTACCTCCACCGCCCACGAGGTGGCCAGGAATTGTGCAGAAAGACCAGGATGTTTTCCCTGTGCTTCTGGCCCACAGATAAAGGATCGTTAGCTACAGCATCGCCATCTCTGTGGCTCTGCCTCTCCAAGACTGCAAGCTC